GGCGAGCATCTGTTTCAGGGTCGCCCGTTGGTTTGATATCACCAAGTCTGGATATGTTAGTCATTTTTCCGGTAGTGGATATGTTAATGAAGATACTCACATGAGGTTCCGCGACTCGGCTTCATGCCGCTGCTTTGCGTACTGTTTGATCACGCGGGGATCCTTAACAATCTCCTGAACTTCATCGTAGCCGCCCTTCGAGTTACGTATCTTGCGTGTAATTTTCATAATCTTGCCAGTCTGGCTGGAAGTGCTCATGCGGCTAAATTGACTGGTAGTCTCATCGTCACGGCGACCTAGCCCCGGAGTTGGGCGCTCCGATCTCGCTCTTGGGTGAGAAAATATCTCATCTGTCCCTTCTTGGTCAATATCACTTTCATCATCCGAGTGTTCAATAGTGGAGGATAAGCTTGATTTTTGTGCATCCCAAACACGACGGATCGACTCCTCATAGGATTTTTGCTGTCGAGCAACGTTGTAGCTATGGCCACCATTCTCTTTGAGTCTCTGAGCATCCAGTTTATCTTCAACACTCTCCCCAACAGCCCTAAAGCCTCCTTTCATAGAAGTTTTGATGAAGCTAAACCCTTCTCCGCGCCCAGTGGGATCTCCTTCTCCATGTATCTGTAACATTGCCTTCCCCTGAGTGGCAGATAAGAAATGTTTGGTGGTTTTCCACGGGGCCAGCTGTTGTTCCAAGCTTTCACCCTCCTTCTCATCGTCATCTGCATCATCTTCATCGTTGTCGTAACCTGCGTCGTGAAGGTGTTGCTGGCCAACCTGCATAGCTTCAAGAAGACAAATGTCTTCTGGCTTTACATAGCTGCGCAAAACATCCTCATCAGGAATAGGCTCTCCGGGTCTCATCTCCCATTCTTTATGGTCCTTGGAAAACTGTAGGAATTCTTTCATTTTTTGTCGATTCTGCATATCGCTTGATTCCGGGAAATGTTCAGTGATGTCAGCAACGCTGATCCTGTGGTTCTTATTTTTCCTGAGAAGCCGATAGCATATCATCTTCAGCCGATTCTTGGCGGCTGTTGTGACCTTCCGCGAATGCGGACCCGGTACATCAACCGATGGGAACGCTTGACCAGCGACGTATATGTATTCAATATTCCTGATGTAATAACTTGACCCATCAATACCAGTGCTGTTGCGTATCACAAGGAAGTCGGTTGGTTTTGCCTCTTGTTGAAATACAGGTGCTCGGAACATTCCAGTCGCTATCGTGGCGGTAGTTTCTCCAGGATCAATGTGCCCAAATATGGAGAACGGGCTTTTGTCCTGGGGTAGAAGTACAGCAGTCTCTCCAATCTCAGCCTTAGGGCGAGCAGGATCCTCCATGTTCTTCCGTCGATAGTAGTTGATGAATCGGCTTCCCATTCCGAAATTGGACATCATTGTTGGATGCTCTTCAGAGTACTCCAGCAAAAGAACGTGTGAATTATCAGCAAGAGACAAGGATTTTGTTGAACTGTATAAAGTCTTTACATCTTTGCCCCTCTGATGCTTTCGCTTAATATATAACGGCTTTTTGAAGTAAACGGGGAGATTCGGGAAAAAGCTTAAACTTGGGCGATGGAAAGATCGAGCCTCTTGTCTGGCGAGTTTTGTTTTGTAGTACGGCCATTGGAGACGGACAGCTGGCAAACTATGCTCAAGCGCCACACTCCCGAGAGTGCTTCTAACTTTGTTTTGATGGTTTTCTTTGAGCATATCGTAGGCATCGTCATTAGAGATATTGTATCGTTTAATCAGACGTTTTGTGAAACTTCCAGCCATTTCATCTCGATTCACAGCCCCCAGATGTTTGGGGCTTTGTAATGCTGCTTCCGTCGCGCGTTCGTCGAGCAATAAGTACGGGTCATTCATGTCAAGATGTATCTTCCTAGCAACCCCCGCGGTCGCACTGATTGGGTCGTCAAAATACGGAATGTCTATTTGAGAGTAAGCAATGTAGTCCTTAGGCGACTTTTCCAGTTTGCGCTTTTTAGCTGGAGGGTTAGTCTCAAATAACCATTCATCATCGTCTGTACCAGGCTCCTCATTTTCCAGAATGTCTGGGACGGCCTCCGTCTTCTCTTCCTCAGACACTGGAGTCTTTATATCCCAATCAGCGCAGAGAACTTGAAGGTCTTGCATAGTAACTCCACCAGGGAGCTCTTCGTCTGGGTCATCAGTGATATCCATTACATCACTTGAACTACACGACGCGTCGGTAAGAGGAGTAATAACGACAATGGAAGGATTATCCGCATCCAACGCCCGCTTCTGAGTTTGGCCAGTGGTGCGAAACGCTCGTTCCTGGTCCTGAGCCAGCTCGAGATTGAGTTTTGTAGGAACAATCCGTTTCGGTGGCTTTAGGGGTGATTTTCCCACAAAATGGGACTTCTTCGGAGGTAGAAGTTCAAGGAATCGTGGCATTGCATTCCGGTCAAATTTGGGCCAAAGAGAAGCAAGGAGCTCCTCATGGTTCTCTGGGGGAGCGGGAGGGTTATCAGGCCCGTACGTCGACATCGCAAAGAGCGCTTGCTGGAGCTGGTATTCCTTGAATGTAGCTGGATCCATATCTGTAGGAGTTACAGTAGAGTCTCTATTCTGTTCATGTGCGGTTTCTACCATCCCATTCTCCTTTACCGGTTGCGTGGCCTCGAGTGGATCAACAATGGAATCGGGAACCATCTCGTCAGACATAGCCTGTGGCAGAGCGCCATTTTGATCCTTCTGTTCACCTACGGGTGATGACGGGACATCCCCAAATAAATCATCGAGTTCATCCCCCACGGGTTGACCTTCCATATCCCCTGCTGTCAGAAAACCTTCCAGGCCTTCCATTGCTCCCCACTCGTCATTCACCTCTCTCGTCTTCCCATTTTCGTCCCCAACGTGAGGGAGACCAATTTCTTCATCCGGAAGGTCATCATCATCATCAATATCCTCGTAATCCACCGCGTCGTCTGCCTTCTCCCCGGGCTCCAGTTCTCGCTGTAAGAAATCAAATGAAGCGTCGTTAGTCGGCGCGTTGATCTGGCGCATCACATGGTTGAAGTCCTCATTATCGGACTCTACCCCATCGGAGCCCGTCGCATGTGGCATCTTGTCTCGCACTGATCCTTTTGTCTTTGACTTGTCAGAGGAAATCGCTTGCGGAGTGTAAACGGCCGTCGTCGACATGAAGTGAGATTAGGACAGGGCAAGATTGCCTTACTGGCAAGGTGAAAGCCGAGTTTTCATCGAGATCGGAACTTGGAGCCAAATAGAGATGTAATTCCCGGCTTCTCAGCAGGTAGCAGTGGAGGTGACCATCGATAGGGAGTTTGGCGAACGGAGGGAGAACAAGAAGCTTGTATGGTACGATTACGGATGACGGAGTCCAAAAGCGGCGGAGATGGAGGATGTCACGTGATACGAGGATGAATGCGGAAAGGAGAATGTTCTGAACTGGCAGCTCACAAGGTTAACTCACCACAATAAATATACATGGATGAGGCTGTGTTGATGGGAATAGTTCATATGCATTATTCACGTATTACCTAAGTTCTGGTGTAAATTGTGGATTCAAATTACTTGCTTCACTGACTGAAGAGGTATCTAGCAGAAGAGTATTAGATTTAGACGGGAAAGGGATTAGTGAAGAAACCACCGCAGTGAATTAATAAATGAAGGTTTCCCTTTAAAGAGAATTGATATTGAATCCTCCTGTATAAATACACAACGCCTTGCTCGCCCCATCCATACAATAGTGCATGGCTAAGGCTTTCTTCCCACCCTTGACAATTGTTGCAAGTTGCTTCAGATCGGATGTGCGCGGTAAATATAAAACTAGATGTTCAGTAAATGCTGAAAACTCGGAATAGAGTGTTGCTAGGGAGTACGGTTGCATAGTCGATAGGTCGAATACATCATCAGCGCGATATGCAGGCCCTGGTACAGCAACTCGTTAGAAAATATAACAGGTTGGACTTCAAGAGGGATGAACATGGATTTAGCTTTACCTCCCCAAGGCGGACTTGCAAAAATTACACTGTAGGGCGACAGCACGCTCAATTGATGTTTAAGAATTTGCATACAGTCCCCTTCAAACCAGGTTATCTTGTCATCCACGCCATAAACTTTGGCATTGTGCTTTGCACACTGGAGAACGGCAGGCTCTTTCTCAATGGCGTATACTCTCTTCCATCTTCCAGATTGCGCAAATGCGATGGTATTACCACCTGCGCCAGCAAACGCGTCTACAAGTATGTTTCTGTCCTTAGGAGCAGAGTCAGCCATATGCTGTGCGATTTTCCTTAGAAAATAGTTAGAATGGAGACTCCAGCCAATTTAGATGCTCCGATTTACGTACTGTGCGATTGGCTCTGGGGTGACGCCGAACCAGGCATTATCCGTCAACCAAATACCGTCGTCATACTTGGAGAAGATTGTGTAGCGCTGGACCCAGTAGCTATACTATCGGGGTTAGTATAACTGAAATAGCCTGGTATATACTCCATACAAACAGATATCGAACTCACTTTCGGATACCTGTAGGAACTTCTGCTCTGCTGGAATAGTGATGGGCTCCTGCAGGCGGTTCATCATCCGAACTCTCCATGCCAGCAAGAAAAATGATTAGATTCCTGCTACTACGCCAGAGCCTGATTCCATAACATAGCTCTAGTAGTGTAATTCACTGCGTACCTCTGTACAGGGCATATATATTATTGAGAAGTCTGAGGAATTAATCGAATTAATCTCGATGTCTTCGACGTTTTTGACAAACAAATTAGTTAGTTACTCTGACGTTGGAGTTTGCGCTGTTTGCATCCTCCGCCTTGAACCTTGAAATACGCTCGCTGCTTGCGGCGAACAGACGAAGGCAGCCTACGATTTACAACAGCCAATGCGACAATACACATTCTTGCTTATGACTGTTACAGGGACAACCAACACAATTAGGACATATTAATACGGTTTTGTATTCTGTTTAGTCGAGGCCTTTGAACTAAATACGTGCCATGTTCGGCGCCCTCAATCGTTTCATTGCCCGTCTCGACTCGGAGCCTGCACAGCAGCAACAGAGTTATTTCAGAGACAATCCCCATGGCTTCCAGGTCCTTCGAAATAAAGACCCAGAACTCCCTCTGGAACCTTGGTTCGACTTTGTAATTGGAATAAACGGACACATTATTGTACGGGGGTTTGTCCTTCTACGACAACGGCTGTTTGTTACATATTGACACTTCTCGTAGGACGAACCAGACCCGAAACTTTTCGCAACTGAGATTCGCAATTGCGCAGGATCTAGCGTCTCTTTCGAGATTTGGAGTGCAAAGGTGTGTTGCTCTGAAATTCTTGGCCAGCTGGTTGATTTGGTCGCGAACATTCTACAACTGACCAATGCCTCCAGGGCCAACGGACACATACCGTGTCAATACCCATTCCCTCCGAGAACCCAACCCTCGGTGTGACTTTCCAGTTCTCCCCTCTTTCATCGACACAACATATATGGCACATTACAGAGATCCCTTCTACGTTGAGTCCAGCCTATCAGGCTGGGCTTCTCCCGCATTCAGACTATATACTCGGAACACCCAGCGGGACCCTCCGTGGGGAATCTGCGCTTGGCGAACTTGTCGAGGATCACTTGAATCGAAGCCTTGTGCTATGGGTATATAACAGTGATTTTGACGTTGTCAGGGAGGTCGAGCTCGTTCCCATACGAGGATGGGGCGGAGAAGGTGCGCTGGGCGCAGTGCTGGGGTATGGTGCCCTTCACAGACTGCCTGTTGGCTTAGTAGAGGCGGTGGAGGGGCCAGGAGAAGTTGTTTTCGAAACACAAGACCACGAGGAACATCGTGGACGAAATGAATCTGCACCATCCGATGGCCCTGGGGGTAATTTCCTTGTACCCGCCAATATGGTTTCTCCGCCTCCCTTAGCTTCACCGTTGAGCAATCCAAACGCACCAAATTCAGCACCAGTGAGGCATGGCCGTAAGTCCCGCCATGCCCATCATGGCGGACATGTAGCATTTGATGACTACTTCCGTGAAAGCGAGCAGAGAAGTAAAGAGGAGGACTTTGTATCATCGAGGCATGCTTCGCCAATACCTCCACCACCAAAAACTAGCGGAGATCATATTTCTCCGGCCCAGGTAACCGCAACGGATAACACTGAGACGACGGGATAGATATTTTTTTTTTCTACCATAGAGGGGATTACGTTATGTAGGTGGCATGCACTCGGCGTATGGAGTTAGATATTCTTCTCCGTTTTGAAGATATGGTGGGGTTAATCTATTTCTCACGCTGGGATACCTAATTTTGTAGTATTACTATGAATAGCAATGTATAGCCAATGACAAATGAGTCTTCATCTGTAAATTGTAGTTTTTATATTATCAGCAAGTCAAAAGGAGTGCAATCTGGTGCTCAAATACACGTCTAAAAGAAGTCTCTACATATACAGAGAGCTGTAGTAACAGCAATGGAAGATGGTAAAGCCCGCCGTTCTGGCTTAACTTTTGCTTTTTCTCATTTTTAGAAACCAGGTCCTGAGAGAGGGTGCCTTAGTTCCCCTTCCTCACCCACTCCTCCAGCTTTCCTCTCCCTTGTCCTATCTTGCTCTCCATCCAAACCCGGCCATAGCCACTGTGCGCAACAGCCCTCCTCCACGAATCCTCCGCAGCATTGCGAAGCTGGACATGCTTCTCCGCAACCCCAGGAATCTTTTTCTCATACTCAAATACGAGATTCGACACATTCTGCATCGTGACGGGCAGAAGTGTCCAGGCCGCTACGATGCCCACAGCAAGCGGCGTCGTCGTCCGTAGGAAAATGCCGCGGTTTCGAGACGCAATTGATCCGGCCATGGAAGCTACAAGAACGTAGATGCTACCGGGCAGCAGGCGCTCCCCAGATTCACGCGAAGGGGCCAGTGATGCTATCGCGTTGGCGATGCGGGTTTCGGTATTGAGGGCGCGTGAGAGGGCGTTGTTGAATTTGTTTTCGGCGACGAGGATGTGTGCGTACAGGAAGAGGCGGGCCTGGCGGACTTGTGGGGCTAGTAGGTCTCCTGTTGAGGTAGTAGAGGGTGAGGGCTTTCGAAGTGTTTTTGTGGAGAGGAAGGGTTGCTGTGGTTCTTTTTCTTGGAACTGGGATTGAGGTTGGGATTGGGGACCGGATTGTGGCTTTTCCGCCAGAACCGCGGGGGATTCATCCTCGTAAATGGGTTTTCGATGTGACTAAGTAGATGGTTAATTCATGTTCCCAGCCAACTTAGATTCATTGTATTCCAAGAGGATCCCCGTACCATGTTGCCTAATGTCGTCTAGGATAAAAGAATTGGAGGGAGTGAGCTGCTGCTCCGGTGACAACCCTGTCCTTGAATTAGCTTTATCATGGAAATAGAGAAGTAGACCATACCTGCTAGAATATTAAACGCAAGGAGTTCCTGCGATTAATGGACGTTGCTGTCCAATTGGCGCTCAATGCGTAGGAACAAAAAAAGAAATGTCGAATATTCAAGATGTTGGACTGAACGTTGCAGGAAAATGCGCCAATCCCAAGCTTGGCAAATATCGCTTGGCCCCGGGGAATCAGAACGGGAATATCCATGGTTGTTAGGCAAGAAACAAGAAATCTTCAGCCACCAACCTCTTCATGTTAGCAAAAACTCCAAACGACCTGACTTTTTAACAAGCGTTCCGTTTCTTTCGCTTCGAAAAGCTGATGATACTCCCCGGAAGATGCTTAAGATCCTCCGACGGCAGCCATGGACTTGTCGACGGTGCATATTACAACATCATCGCGCCCAGATCAACCGTCGCATCCACAACCATGCCGCCGCCGGCATAGAAACCCCCAACAATAATGTGCTGGATTTTGCTGTTGCTGGGAACGAGGCGGCAAAACGTCATGATGATAGTACCCTACGGATGATATTTGATTCTCAGCCGTTCTGGCGAGAATTTTCTCAGCGGAAGAGCCGGTCTCCAACCGGGTTGCTGCAGAACAAATACCTCACATCCCCAGAAGGCTTCCTGAAGTTTGCCTCCGTTTCGCTGCAGAAATGCCAGGAGATCATGGCTAAGGTACTTCAGGCCTCAACCGTTGATGAACACAGGAGGATTGTGAAGGATCTTGACCGTCTCAGCGACCTGCTCTGCCGGGTGATAGATATGGCGGATTTCATGAGGTCGAATCATCCCAACCCCGCCATACAAGATGCTGCTACACGAGCATATTCCATCGTATTCGAATACATGAACGTCCTGAATACCGAGACTCGTCTTAATGACAAGCTTCAGTGGGCTCTGTCGGAACCTGAAATTTCCGCTCATTGGAGCCAAGAGGAAAAGGCTACGGCAGAGCTGCTGGTGAAGGATTTTATAAAGTCCGGCATCCATTTGCCTCCTGAGAAGAAAAAGCGCTTTGTAGACCTCTGTAATGATATCAGCGCCGCGGGGTTTAACTTTGTGAATGGTATGGAACCCAAAACCAACCACCTGTCTTTCGACAAACACAAGCTGCAGGGAATGGATCCTGCACTGGTGGAAAGGATGCGACGGTGGACGAGCGTTCGCCTTCCAATCGATGACACCATGCCAATTATAGCCTTGAAATCCGTCCACGATGAGGATACACGCAAGCAAATCTATCTTACATCTCGCAAGACATCAGATGCCCAGATTGACCGTCTGACACGTTTACTCGAATTGAGGGCCGAGTTAGCTCAGTTGACCGGCTACGAAAGCTACGCTCATATGGCAGTGAGTGACAAGATGGCGAAAAGCCCGGAGTCAGTGAGAAAATTTTTGTTGGCGTTGAATTCGAATAACCGCAATCTTGTCCAGAAAGAGATCGCGAACTTGGACGCTTTAAAAATGGAAGATTATGCCAAGCTGGGTCAGGGTAAACCACCATTTGCCCCTTGGGATCTCTCTTATTACGTTGAGAAATACGCTGCGCAGCATGACGTTTTCAGAAAATCTGGCGCGATCAGCCTCTACCGCTCATTCTTTTCGCTGGGAACAGTCATGCAGGGTCTCTCGCGACTTTTCACCAGACTCTATGGAGTCCGTCTCGTTCCAAAGGAAACATGTCCTGGAGAGACATGGAACCCAGATGTTCGACGCTTGGATGTTTTAGACGAATTTGATAACCACATTGCAGTCATTTATTGTGATCTTTTTTCACGGCCAGGGAAGAACCCTCATCCAACCCACTTTACTCTAAGATGCTCCCGTGTCATATCCCCTGAAGAGATTTCGGAGGCAGCTCTCTCATCTGATGTCCATCCGAATGACGGAATGGCAACGGCAATACGACCAGGAACGAATTCTCTCTATCAACTTGCAACAGTCGCCCTAATCTGCGACTTCACAAATCCTTCCCCAAACAGCACCCAGCCTCCGCTTCTCTCTAAACACAGTGTCCAAAACCTTTTCCACGAAATGGGCCACGCTATCCATTCCGTCATGGCTCGTACGGATTTCCAGGGAATTTCCGGCACTCGCTGTGCGACAGATTTTGTCGAACTACCCTCCATCATTATGGAAAGCTTTGCCATGGCTCCAGAGGTTTTATCTCTCTATGCTCGTCATTGGGAGACCAACCAACCCCTCCCAGAAAACATGATCCAAACGATGCGTGTCAATCACGAGAATTACGAAAATATTCAAGGCGCCATGGACAATGAGGCGCAGATCATGATGGCGCTCCTTGACCAGGCATATCACGACTCCAGCCCCCTTCACCGGGGTTTCGACACAACCCAAATCTTCCACTCCCTCTACTCGCAACACGCAACCATCTACGATCCGATAGAATCCCAGACTTCATGGCAGGGTTATTTTGCTCATCTATTCAACTACGGCGCCACCTACTACAGCTACCTCTTCGACCGCGCCATAGCAAGTAAGCTATGGGCTGAGACTTTCCAGGAAGGAAAGCTAGCCACGGACCGAGAGGCTGGGGAGAGATTCAAGAATGAGCTTTTGCGATGGGGTGCGGGTAGAGACGGGTGGAAATGCATTGCTGGCGTTCTGGGCGACCAGAACCCGGCTAATGCCAATGGGAGGCTGGCAGAGGGGGGGGAGGATGCAATGTCTGAAGTTGGTCGATGGGGTCTTGGGCAGGATCGCTCAGAAAGACATTAGTGACTGGATTCGCGTTTCGGGCCGTATATATGTCAACAATGTGGCCCTTGTGAATTTTCCGCCCATATCCATATACATTGGAAGCTGTCTCTGCTGCTGCTACTGTCAGTCTAGCTAAGCTCATAAAGTTGAGCTTTAAACTAATTCTCTAACAAGCTTAATAGAATTCAGTTAAGATTTAGTTGAGAGTTTAACTAAAATCTTTGACTGATTAAGCTCTAGTAGAAATGATGCTTTAGCAAGATATAGATTTCTCTTTAAATATTAGTTTTTTCTGGTTTGTTGAAGAGAAACCAGAAAAATCTTAAAATCTATCTTTTTCATTTATTTCAAGATATAGACTGATATTACATCTATTTGAGCTATACACTAATTATAAGAAGGATCATTTTAGTTAATTTTAACACAATTTATAAATCTGGATATTTTATATTTTATATTAAAAAATAAACAATGAATATAATAAAATATAACAACTACTGATTGACATATTTTGAAGAAGTAAAAACTGTGAAATCAAAATAATGTGTTGAAAATATAGATGAAATTGAGCTACAACGAACTAAAATAACAATAGTAAGGCCAAAAATTTGGATGAGATGTCACATGATGTGTAAAACATACACTCGAAATCTCTCTTTCAATTATATAGAGAGAGGTACAGAGAGATATTATCTTTATCAATTCCTTTTCATGGTAGTTGTGCACATTCAACGATTCCCTTCAGAAGAATAATCGTGAAGAACGGTTGTTGCAGGAATCGCCTTGCTACAATTTGAGTTTCTTTATTCATACCCAGATGAGGTTAGGCATAGCGGAGTTTTCTTGGCGAGATGTAAGCCCGGTTTCAACAAACGGGCGGGGAAAAGCAACCTGATAGGACAGAGAGCTCCCGTAGCGGAAAACAAACGGTTTCTTTCACACTTCTTTCACACTCTGAGGTGCTTATGCACCATCGGCCAGTGATAGCAATACTTGCTCATTGTCAATCAGCCTTTGGTGTTTATTGATACCCCAAACAGGTTTAGACGCTGAACGAGCCCAGGAAAGTCATGAGCTGGGGAGTTTGGCAAAGGCACTTGCAGAAGCTGACGCTTCCAGTCGAATAAGAATCTTTGGTGGGACCCACTGCTAAAATTTGGGGGTTAGTAGCTTGTCATCCGCGCATCAAGAACTAAAAAAACGCCCAGATTTGCTGTCAGAAACTCGAGATCATCATCCGGTAGATTTTGCATCACTCGATGTGATATTTATTGGATTCAAATCTGGTTTAGAGCCGTACTCTTGGAATTTCAGTTCTTTGACGGACGTTAACGGCGACCTTCTGGCACCGGGGTAGACCAGTCTTGGGTCAATGTCCAGATGTGAGGTAGATGTTACAGATAAAGGTTAGAAATCTGATAGTCGAGGAATTATGATGATTGCCACCCCCCCTCCTGGGAATTGGCTGATGCTGCGGGGATGCGGAAGTTCGGAAGATAGGTGACCGAACGCGCTCTGCTGTCTCCCGGCCTTGGGGATGCAAATATTCCTGCATCTGTGACCTAGGCTTTCTTCCAGACGCATATGGAGGTAACTTTCTCGCTGCGGGCCTTTTTTTCTGGACGGTAGGAAGGGTACAAGAATAAACTTCATGTTTCACTCCATTATGAAAGTGGCTCCTTCGCCTCCTTGGGAAAACGCAGGCAATATCCACGAATGAGCACTTTGACGAACGACTGGGTTCGTTTACTTCTTGATGTTGCTGGTGGTCACAGGAGCCCGCTCGCGCATACCCCAACGCTGACTATACGTCATGTCTAACTAACTCGAAGTGCTGTATTCCTATGCAGAAATGAGGTATGGTGAGGTCTTAGCAGTGTAGGTTTTCAAGGCGGAAGGACGTTTAAAAAGTTGTCCCCAGGCGCCACATGTGATTATATAAGCACCATCCTTGGTGGAATCGATCCTAAATCTTGTTCACTTGAGCCACAGTTGACCAAATGGCAATGATCGAAGGCTCAAACCACAGCAGGGAAAAAATGACATCAGTGAGTTCCTGAGAAGCCCAGGTTACTCCAGGCCTTTTTGTCCTCGCATAACCACAGAGTAAAGGCAGGTAATGCCCACAGGTACTGTAACACATCTGAACCATGAGAGTGAGTTCCACTTTACTCCCTGGTTTGGCGCTCTTAGATCATTGCGCATTATTGTCCAGAGATACATTCTGTCGCGCAGAAGAAGCATCTAATTGTTGTTGTAGGAAGCGAATCAAAATCCCAGTATGCTGTTGGTGACTTGCAGAGATGGACCGTGTCTGCCCACTATGGCCGTTTAATGATCTCATGCTCACCTGAACATGTGTTGTTCTGTGCCAGATGTGAATCAATAATACATTACCTTGCAGGAGGTACTCTGAACCTCTGGCCCTTAAAGCCAGGAAAACGTTCAAAACACAAACGGGGATGTTGCGGATATCCCTCGCAGAACGTGGTACATATTGGGATTTTTTCTCTCTCTAGCATTTCCGAGCACAAGCAGCTATTTAAAGATCCCAGTTAATGTGACTGTGGATGCAGGCATGCATTCATTATATTTTATTGAGGCAATCCGACTTAATAAGAGTCAGTTTCACACCTGGCCTGGACTATACCGCCGAGAAAACCAGATACCCGAATGTTTGCGGGATGGAGCTAAACCCAAAACGCGGTTCAATAACCAGCGCCGCTGTTCTGAATGCTTGAATCTAACTTGTCCCTCCCGGAATCGAGTAACGAGTTTGCTTTCCAGCACAGCAAGCAGTCTGGATCTTGCTTGGTGGTCTTCCAATCATGATTTGGCGTCATTGATCTGTTATCGGGATGGCCCTTACCTCCTGGACTCTCGCGATGCCCAAAGCAATACGAAGTACTTCCCTGCAGCGCATCCGGATTTTAACGATTTCGACTGACCCCCGTTTACATGTTGGCGGGTTTACATCTGATATGTCGGATTGATACTAATTTTCTCCCTTACGTGGTCACATTTCTCCTCATGTCTCTCGCTTTTCCAACTTTTTATTCTCCTGTTGTGTATGTTTACATTCCAACCCATCCACGTCGAGAGAGGAGAGACCTATCAGGCTTACTACATCATCAAAAAGCTACTGTGGCGCTCCTATAGGGAGCCAGCCGTGCAGGAAATTTCGGCCTCGCCTCCCCAATTCACTTTGCAGTGCTTCTAACGGGCATCAACGAAGCAAACAAACCGCAATAGCAGTGTTACCAAGCCTTCCTATAATAATCATGCCTCTTGATAACAAACTTTCCCATCCCTACATGTGCCGTTGCACAGTACGTCGCATTTGACACGGCCCAATACTAAGGACTTGAGACCCATAGATTTTCTTTTCTGGGTCTCGGTGCCTGGCAGCAGGAGAGCTTGACGGTAGCTAGTTGTTCAACGTTTGTCTGAGATCTGAAGATGAACCCATTTTTGAGTTAGTGAGAACAAGAGGTTCCAAATTTAGTTTCTAGAAAACGTACGGTTCCAGGGACGGTTGGGGTTGGCGCTGCAGCTCTTCTGGCAATATTTTTATTATAAACTAACCCACCCTCTCGGACCCGACACTCTGGATTCATCTACCTCTTTCTACGTAAAGGATATCTCTTCGTTGAAAAAACGGCATTTCTGCTGGTACTTTTTGTTTGATTTATTTTTCTCATCTCTGCAAAAGGTTAAACTCCAATGTCAGAAAGCCCTCTCATTAAAGAGAGGCCCCCCTCTCAGGAAGACGGACTAATAACTCCGGAAGTAGGGCCCTCCTTTTCTATTTTGCTGCCGAGTATCATTCCTTTCTTATTCCTTTCTCCTCTTGCAGACTTGGCTATGTTTTCTTTTAAATCCACCATATTTCTTGTTTGCCCCAGACTCTTGATATATCTCCTTGGAGCTTGAAACGCCTTCCATCCCGCAGTTGGCTCATTTTCCCATTTTTCATATGCTTCCGACAGCTCTATTAATGAAGTTCTTCCCAACATTTAGTCAAACCAGTCCTTTGGAACAAATGGATCTCTATAGTGGGTCTACCCGTTTTCAATGCTACAAGTTCTTAGCATTGACCGATCACAGTGAAACACACTCGTTGACATCGAGTGTTACGGATTATCCCGTAGTTCACGGAAGAAGATATCACCGATATCATGAGGGATGTGCGTTTACCAGCCTTCTGCCAACTGTTTAAGTTGCCTCTATTTCTGATCTACAAAACCTTCAGCGTACATCTACCCTAACGATGAGGATGAGCTTGACCGCCAAGATTTGCAATATCAAATGTTGAAATTAGTCAATCAAGGCAGGATATATTTTGCCCCTCTGGTAAATCCAAAGCACATCCTCGATATAGGAACTGGTTCTGGTATGAAATATCTTTTCTCTTTCTTGATTCACCGTCTCCATAACTGCCCCATTCCTGTAATGTTCCCACGCCAACTCGAAGTTGGAGATATAGGGCAGTTACACCAGCCTATGGTCTGTATTAACCAGGAGCTAATGCATTACAATACAGGCATTTGGGTAATCGAAATGGGTATGTAAATCCTGTTGCCGTTCTTCATCTTCCTTTCGCAACTCTCCGGTACCCGTCTCTCCTTAAGGCAATGCTATTTAATCATTATCGTCAAAAACTCACGTTCACCTTCGAAACCTGAACAGCCTTAAAGTTTCCTGGTGCCCAATTTGTTGGTACAGACCTTTCACCTGTTCAGCCCACGCAAGTACCCGAAAATGTTCATTTTCTTGTGGACGATGCAGAAGAACCCGACTGGCTTTGGCCCGAGAACCATTTCGACTATATACACACATCAATGTTGCTGGGTTCTCTCCATTCGTTTTCCCAGCTCCTCCATACAGCGTACAGATATCTGAAACCAGGGGGATACATAGAGTGCCACGATTATGACATCGCGATCCGGTGCGATGATGGCAGCCTGCCTCCCGAACATCCCGAGGGTAAAGGGCCATATGCGTTTCAAAACTGGATAACGCTTCATATGAAGTCCACGTCTAAGATGATGAACCCACCGCGCCCCGTCAGATCTGCACATCAAATATCCGCTTGGATGCGCGAGGCTGGCTACGTGGACGTTCATGAGCGCATAACGAAAGTCCCCGTCACAGACTGGGCCAGAGACCCCCGGTTAAAGAGAATCGGCACGTGGAATCAAATGAATTGGATGATGGGATTGTCAGGATTTTCATATAATCCCTTTGGAGCGCGTGGGCTGGGCTGGACAAAAGATCAGATTGAGGTTTTTCTTGTCGACGTGCGAAAGAGCCTCTATGATCGGAGCTACCACATATATAACAACTTCCATGTCATCACCGCAAGGAAGCCTTATTGGTCTAAGAAATCGAATAGATCGGCGGGGTGATTCATAATTCCCTTATGAGGCGCATTGGAGGCGGGAGTGAGGCGTGCATATTGTTAAAGGAAAAGGAAAATTTTGGTTAATTGGCTCTTCTTTCAACACAGCTATTCCAGATCGTTAACTAACTAGAGTTAGTTAATTGTTGCATATCAAGGAGTTTTTTGCTGCCTGGAAATTGATATCTTGGCATTTCAACCGCCCCCCTTTTTTTTTGGGATACCCATTTTATGTTTGTAACTCTCTATATCGGTGACTGTGATCTGGACTTATTACTTAATGACTTCCCTTATATTCTACCAATATTAGTTATAATCTGGTTATAAAAGCTCATTTCTTACACATCTTTGAACAGGTTTTCTGCACCACAAAAAAAAAAAAAACATTCAACCCGTCCCTCCAGGTCCCATGTTGATGCTTGAAGGAAAGTCGCACACACTATCTCCAAAATGGCAAATTCGATGAGACGACGCTCCAAGCTTCCCTTCCGCTATGCGGAGTCAGGATACAAACGGCTTTTCTTATCTTCACCTAGATATTATTATCCGAGGATTACCCATAATAAATATGTAGGGTATTAGGAACGTGCCGTAGCTTTCATTAAAAGATACCTTCGTGGAACTCGTAAAACATCATAACCTCCCCTAAAATAGTTCCTACGTAAAACCATCCAAATGATAGTTTAACAATCCAATCCCAATTTTTCAAAATACCGGCAGCAGTTCAGTAATGCCTCGAGCCACTCAAACTCCTTTTCATCATGTGGAGTGCCCTTTACAGCTTTTAGTTGCGAGATAGTCCTTTGGTTCATATCATTCTGGATGACATTTTGCTCCAGCCAACCTCCGGGAAATGAGAGTCGCGCTGTCAGCGACGCGAAATATGGTGTGTACTTTATGCGAGGCACATTTATTACCGGGTATATATCCCTGACCGCTGGGGGCATGTATACATTCGCGAACCTCTTGATTGTGGTACATATATCTTGTATGATCGGTGTTGGGTACTTATGATATGAATATGCTGTTGTGGAGGATGTAGACTTGGAATCTGGGGGTAATTTCTCAGAGGATGTTTCATTTTGCTTCCCGTAATTAATATGTAACAGCCCCATCGCTTCCACGATATCGTTATTGTCTCGCGTGAGTTTGTGAGACGACATCAGCTCATCTGGCGAGGGTGGAAATTCTTCCATCCCCTTGATGAATAAGTTCAGAGTTCTATTCAGCGGCACTATAGGTACCAATTTGGGCCAAAATAGCCAGGCCGAAGGTAAACCCTTAACTTGGTACTTGCGCATCCGCAACACGGTAGCACGGGAGGTTTTCTCCGCATCCGTGCGCAAACGGCGAACAATGTGGCCGACATTTTTTACCTGGGTCTGGCGGTTTTCTGTCGCTTTGCAGACTAGGTCCGGGTATGTTTCGAAGATATCCGCCATCCGTCTGAGCTGTGCTGCCTTGGTGCCATTGAGTCGCTCTTGAGCATATAGGACAGCCCTCCAGAATCCCTGAAGGCCGGATGCGGTTACGAAGTGGGTTGATATTTTCAGTTTATTCTGGGCAAAGGGTTCGAGTAGTGAGAAGAATTGGGTTGAAACACTAAGTCGGGCAAATACTTCTTGATGCAGATATTCCTTTAGGGGACCTAGAAACGGTTCATGCTGCGTTGATATGCTAGTCGCTAAAGGTGAGGTTACTGGAGATTTAGGTAGCTGCAGAAGGTTGTATATGTCGGTGTAGACCTTAAAGTATCGATTGAGGGTTAGAAAATCTTCTTGGGTTGCGAGCAGTTTTCTGTACACCAGGAATGAGAAGATACGCTGGTTCAGATATGGGTCATCATGCGCTGCCAGCGCGAGGATATGATAGATTGTCAGGTCATCGAGGATTTGATGGACCAGTTCAGTTGGGATTGTGCTGGACAATGGCTGAATCAGCCTTGCTGACGGGCGCGATGTCGAATTCTTTACCATTTTGTCTAATTTTTGGGCCATTGAATTGTTGACTCTGTTTTACAATCTGGATGAGTATACATCACAGAGGGTCTCCAGCTTGCATAAATATGGAATATGAAGCGCAGTGACTCATTCACAATAGTTAATATCACCGCCATGCTCTCATGAGGCTGTATCCCCAGCCGTGGCTTTTTTGCTAGAAAGTATCCAGTTAGCTGTTGCCTCTGTAGCCTCCTCTCGCTACGAATGAAAATGCCCTCAATGCGATGCGCGCCTGAAAAGTAAGCAGAGGGAACTGAGCCATCTGGATGCCTGTTTAAGTTCTACATCATTTTCTCCTTTGCGCAATTTTCAGTTGGAAGGGAAAGACAGCAGTAAAGAACCAGTTTTATAAAATGTTGAGATCTGGAGCAGAATGCCATCGTTTTCTTGAATTGCAGGATGCTGCCGCGATTGCAGAGCACATCCGGCGTGATAAGGAGTTGTGCAAAAACAATGCCATCCCCAGTATTCTGGCTTGGTATCTCCCTCCGGCAACCTCGCACCTTGGAAATTCAATATCGATCCATCTGCATCCCAACCATGGGCTAGGAGATGAAGGATTCAAGCAAGTTAGACATCTGCGATATGAATTCGTTAGACAATCCATAAAGGCGTATCTGAGCCAAATGGGCCAGGGTGGTTTTGGTTTGAATGGTGAAAGTCAACTGAAAACATCAGCTATCATTCCATCAACACACGAGTTTAACGCAACATTGAAGGTGCTGGACTACCTGCAGGACCACAGCTCAATGACCCACTTGACATCGTTGAGTTCACTGGCAGATGTAGTCTCTGCTGTGGAAGCACAGCTCTCACTCGACCCAGGCCTCAGGTCTAAATACAGATCTATGTCTCAGGCCAGCTCACCGGAATGGCTTAAATGGAGGAGACGAAAGTGCTACATCTGTCGCTTCAGGGTTTCAGAAAGGCATCGTCTATATCCATCGCTCTGCCGCCCATGCGGTAACTTTTAACCTCGCTGGCTCAGAAGCTTCCCTACCAGAACATCTCAACCTGGAAGGCATTACGGCGCTTGTAACTGGTGGACGCATAAATCTAGGCTATCATACTGTTTTACGGCTCCTGAGATGTGGTGCAAGAGTCATTGCATCAACTCGTTATCCCCGAGACGCCGAGATAAAGTACCAGGAGGAAGCTGACTTCGAAAGCTGGGCTCCCCGACTCAAGATTGTCGGAGCAGATTTTAGAAGTGCCAAGGATGCATTTCGGCTAGTCCGAGTCGTCCAAAAGGTGTTGTCGCAATGGAAAGATGAATCAAACAATGATCAAAAGGTTCAAGAGTTGAATATACTGATCAATAATGCCGCGCAAACGCTCACTGATCCTTTAAAATCAGAGTCCAGGGCAGTCAACAAGGAAGATATCCTGCAGACGCAGAGTGGAACTGGAAGACTTTTGGTGGATAATGATACAGGATATGAAGCAAGAGTAAGAGGAGGGATGGGACTTTCATGGTCCGCTAGACTTGAAGGACTTAGCCAATTCCTACTAGAAGGGGAGCCAGGGAACGGTAACAATGGTTTTGAACAAGTTAAACATCCTCCGCAGAAGGGCCTCTGTGATGACATCAGCGGGGAAGAAGATAATGGCAAATCATCTTGGACCCAAACGTTGCAAGAGATACCATACGAAGATATGATAAGTGCTCACTCGGTCAATGCTTTCGTCCCTCTCATTCTCTGCCGCGAGCTACTGCCCCTCATGATTGCAGGAGGCAAAGCCACATTAAAGTCACCCACGGAGCCTATCACTACCGCGTTATATGGCAGCACCTCTCATCGCTCTAATCCTGCAAAACCACGTGGATACATCATTAACGTCTCCTCGCGGGAGGGACTGTTTGAGCAAACGCCGAAGCATAGTCACAAGATGGGTCGACACGTCCATACCAACATGTCCAAAGCTGCCATTAATATGATAACCGAAACGGAGGCAGCGCCTATATGGACCACGCACCGAATTGCTATGAATACAGTTGATCCGGGCTATATGAGCGCTGCACCCGAACATCAGCGGGATGATGGATGCCCCATTGGCTTTGAGGACGGTGCCGCAAGGGTTCTGTGGCCTATCGCAGTTGGAATTAAGGACGGCTCGGCAGTTTGGGGGAGATTCCTCAAACACTTTGGAGAGGCAGATGTCCATACACGTGGAGGACGCGGAACCAGTTAGACACATACGACGGTCTGACTCATGGAGTGGGAGAAGGTCATGGGAATTCAGCATTGAATACCATTATATGGAGATCTCAGATACGGCATGGAGTTTTTGGTTCTATTTTCATAGATTATCGTAGATTTATTGAACATTCGCATTATGATCTGATTTCATTTCTTGCGTTCTCTCCCTCAATGTAAGATACTTTGGAACGAAGCTGAGTCATCATGCCAAGCCGATTTCACGAGCTCCAGAGTAGATTTGATGATCAACGTCGGGATTCGCACTTTACAGCATCCCAGAGAACTCAACTAGCTTTTGCCGCAGTTCAATTGCATATATGACGGTCCATACTGTGCGGTCTCATGTCTCGATGTCGACATAGGCTCTATCAAGCTCTTCAGCAGCACAGTACTGCCAGACCAGACCATATCTGGATCAGCGACGACTTGGTTTCTGAGGGATTTTCTCGATTCGTAAGACACCATAAACGATATGGGAGCTCTGTTCCGGGGCCTCTCGAGGCTCAAAAGAGGCTTTCGAAGCGGAGACATGCTGCATTGGCCTCCATGGGATTTCTCCCGTCCGCAACAGAAGCCGCAATTCTATTTGGGAAGCCCTCGCAACCAAATCAGGAGCCCCAGTTAATTGCGTCGCAACCATGGTCCCTGCAAGCCCAAGGTATGGCAGACACGCTGCGAATCCTGATTATATACACTGAAAACTAATGTAAAGCACAGATACTTTTCCATATCTACACAATGATCCGCCTCTGGTTTCGCCGCCATTCGCTGAAAGCGCCCCCCCTGATACTTTGAAACCCGCTTCTCTTCCTGACAATCCTGTTTCGACTTCTCATATGGATTACAATTCTATTAAGATGCACTTGTCTTCCTCAGTACGGAAGTCAGCTTCTCTAAGCGAGTTCAAGAAACGCATCTTTGCTTTGGGCATCGACCCGCGGGGACAACCTCTCGTCAGCAGAACTGTGCTTTCTGAGATCCTTCTCGCTCAAAACCGAAGCGGACGGTCTAGGAGATGGGATATGGACGATCTGTACGGCTTTTTCAGTGATGCTTCCTTGAACATTCCTTCAGCGGAGAACTATGTGACTTTGGTTGAACATTGCGTTCTGCATACCGAAAGGAAATCTCGTTTATATGCTCATTTCCGTTTTCTAAAACGTTCCATCATGCTAGGTGTTGTTCCTGTGGAAGAGATTAGCAAAATCATCAAGCTTATACCTTCAATTAAAACAAAAACACAGGGGCACAGAAAGAGCACGATTGGAAAAGACAATTGGGGGGACGTCGCAATGTGTTATCAAGCTGTTTGGGATGGACTTGATTCATCTTCTGTTTTAGCTCCCCGTGATCTTGACAGAGAAACAATGGCTTTATGGGTGGATGAACTTTTGAAAGCGTCGCCGCCTGGCAGTTTGTCCCAGCTGTGCATGGACGTTATTCACGCATGGGATGGCTCACCAACGTCTGTTTTTAATTTAATAACAGACGTTCTTCTGCGCCGCGTTGTACATACCGCCGCCGCAGTCCCGGAATCAGCGAAGATAGATATGGCCAATGACGAGTTGCACGGCATCCTAAGCTACACAAAGTCACTTCTAGAGGCATGTTCCCCGGAGGCTGCTATCGCGCATATCATAAGAATAACCGAACTACTAATATTTTCACCATTTTATAACAAATGGAGTGACCAATCCCTGGGCATATGGTACTGGGTATTATGTCGACTCGACAACGATTTGGTATTATTTAGTGCTACTTCAAGGCGTAATCTTGAATCCGCTTCGACATTGGCTTTACCACTTTTAGACAAGAATGGGTTAAACGTTCCCAATCGCCATAGGCATTTGCTTCATCTGTGGGTGGTAGCCGTTCTTGGACACACGACAAACAGTTATTCGATACTAGACTTCCGCCGAAAGAACGTGTTCCGGCGTCTCTTATCCTACCTTGATCGAACGTCGGGCCCATTCAGGGGAACAGATATTTTAACTCGACTACGAATATACCTTCAATGCTCCTGTCTTCGCATCCTGCCTGCCACAGACCTTGTGCTGTCAAACGTCGCAGACATCGAATTCGCTAAAGCACAAAAGCAACTCCGTTGGAACAAACAAAACGGTCACTCTGGTGGCCCACAATCCCTCGACCCCGCGATAAAAACTAAACTTCTCGATGCAACCCATAGCCCCAAATCCATAGAAGAAATCCTCCCGTACTTTCCCATGTACACCCGAAACCGCACGACGCTATACTCAACATTCGACCAACTCGCCAAAACCACGGACATCACCTCCCCTTCCTTCATCCGCCAAATCGTTTCCTACATAGAATCCGGCACGATTCCCCGCAGCGCCATTCTCCGCCTCCTCCGTCGCCACACTCCTTTGAAAGTTGCCCTATCTCGCTGTTGGCAGGAACCAGCTATGACACCGTACCCCCCGACAGAGCCTGGTTCTCCACCGCCGGATCCGTGTTTGTACCCCAACCCGACCGAATGCCTGCGCATGCTACATATTCTTGCCCTTGTGTTCTCATGCACAACAACAATGACACCGACGTCCTCCTGGCGGCTAACAAGATGGGTGTATTTATTCATTGTCCAGCACCATGGGCCCGTGGCTCCCATATTAGCAAGGGCGCTTTACCAGGCTGGGGTCACGCGGTATCGTGAGGTGGGAAAGCCGGTGTCTAAGCCTAAGTTTGCGTTTATTATGAAGAAGATTGCAGAGGCGGAGGGGGCAGCTGTTGCGAAAGCGCTTATGGATGCTGAGATAGCATGAGCTGAGTTGGTTTTGTTGTTTTGATGAGAGAAATTCCGGAAATGTTGAGTGTAGATAGAGAATTTGTGTTTTTAGATGACATTCCACACATTTGAAATAATACGCAAGGGTTTTTATCCTAGTATTTTCAGTGTTGGAAGTCCTTCTACCTTTTTTCCTATATGGAGTGGCTACTATTCTAAAACATGACTTTGCTACACTAAACCAAGAATATAGAAATATTTTACGGCAGGCTCGTGACACGTCCAAAAGCATACATTTTTAGCTGAAGTAGATCAATTTGCTTTTATTGTTTGAATTTTCTATCATATCACTGCGGGAAACATTCCATTTTATTGAATGATCGGGAGAACACAGGCAGGGCCTTCGAAAGTAAAAGAAGAAACACATTCGTTTAAAGAGACGTGTAAAGAGGTAAAAAAACACTAATCGCTCTACTGAAACAAAAGTATATCATAAAAAGGGATACTCAAATCAAGAATCGACATCCATCTTCTCTACAACAACAGGCTCCTCACCCTCCAACTCCTGCACAGTGATATACCTCCTGATCTCCGCCTTGGTAATGACTTTCTGATTTAGCCACGCCGTCGTCCCCTTGGCAAACCGATAAGTCCTCTCCTTCCTCACCCTCTCATTCGGCTTAATGAAATTCCTCAACAGCTGAGTCGGCTTCTCCTTGTGAATAATACAGACATCAACATTACTCCCTGATCCCAAATCGTTAAAGATACCCGCCAAAATCGCCTCAGAACACAACTTCACCGCCTCATCTTTATTCAATTCGGGTTTCCACATCGTCTCGAAAACGGACATGGCTGCCAGCGAGCCGGAGCCCATGGTCACGTAGGGGAGTTTATCTGTCGAGCCGTGGGCGTGGACGGTGTACAGGCCAACTCCTGTTGGGTCGACACCGGCGACGACGAGGTAAGCGCCAATGTGGCCCTGATAGCGGAACAGGTGCTGTTTCAGCATGGTCAAGCAGGTGACGACGCGCGGGGAGCGGCCTGTGGAGAGGGCGTGCAGTTCCAGATTGGAGCTCATGAGGGCTGTGGTGAATTCTGTGTCTGCTGCTGTGCCGGCACCAGCGCACCAGATTTTCGGAGTGATGTAGTGGAGTTTTTCGCAGTTCTGGAATATGGGGGTTAGTTTTTACGTAGTTATGGGGAGTGTGCGATTGGTCGGAGCATGGTGATAATGGTTCGACAGGGAAAACAGATATAACTCGCGCGTGGAGAGTTTAAAAATTACAGTTCATGGACTTCGCATGAAGGGGTAGGTACCTTGTCAGCGACGATGGGTCCACTGGTAGCTCTGGTATCGGCTGCAATCTGTAGATCGGAACCAGCCCAGTATTAGTTGGTGGTTCTCGCACGAGGATGCTCTGATGGTCAGCACCGGCTTACCACAACGCCCGCGTCAAAAATGCATCCAACGATAGTTGTACCTGTGCTGATAGCCTTTGGAAGAGGCACGCCCTTTGCATGCAGAGCAACATTGCGGTTGTAGTTGGAGAAATCGAAGCCTGGCATGGTGAGGGTTGGAGGCTCATGAGAAGTGGTGGTTTGCGGTGGGAAAGGGACGAAGGCAGTGTCTCCAGTAGTTGAAATAGAGTATAGTCAGAAAACAAGAACAGAAGCTTCCCCAAGCAATTAGTACGTCCCGTGTCGCAGTGTGTAGATATAGATGTCCTTTTTGTACGTGGTTCAAGGGTTGATGTTGGTCCTAAGTCCAGCAACTGACGAAGCTTCGACCTTCTGCCTGGGTCGCGCATGGGTCGACCAATCACGTTCAAACCTCTTCACTCATAAAGGAAAATCTATAACAGTTACAACAGGCACGGATCTATTTGTACTCCGCAACACTGCACATACACATACTTCTTTGCGCCCCACCTCTCTACTCACGCCTGTGAATAGGTATGGTCTAATCCCATAACGTATCTCCTCCAGCTCAGCCAGCGTTCATTTCTCCTCTCTCCATTTTTCATCTCTTTCCCCTCCGCCTTTGGGGAGCACGCGCCAGCAAGATTTTCGGACCAACTCTCCAGCTCTTTAATCGGAGTCCGGGCACACTTCGACATCGCTCCTTTATCAATCTGCGTGCCGCCCATCCAGTCCTCAATGCCCCAAAGCCGAGGTATTCTCTAGATTCCAAACCCCGTGCCGTCTCTGACTTCCAGCTGCTCAAAATGGCCTTTGCCTCCCAGCAAGGCCCTGGCTTTGGCGGAGGTCAAGCGGCTAAAGTGCAGCTCGGTCCTGAGCTCCAGGAAATCCAGACCCAGGTATGTAGAACTTCAGATACCATGTATGGCGCATCTGTCTATATATAAATATTCTTCTGCCTTCTTCGACCGTGTGTTTGAATGGTATGGCTAACATTTACATGTTTGAACAGGAGGTTGGCTTCCTCTCTATTGCCGGAGACTCGAAAATTCGCATATTCCCCACTCCTTGGCCAAGCGATTCCCTCCCCCCACCCACTTGCTCTTTGTTGAGCGTCGCATCTACAAAAGGCCTGCTTGCAGCCGCAGGGCCTGATGGTCTTGTGATTGCAAGCACAGATGCCGTACGAAAAGCATATTCCGCAGACCGCACCGGAGACAGTAATATCAGGCTATTTCAACCCCAGCTACAAATTCCGCTCCCACAGAAGGCTTCGCATTTAGCTTTTTCCGCCGATGAGAATGTACTTGTCGTAGCCGCTGCAGATGGTAGCGGTTTGATTGCGTACCAGGTTGCTGCGTTGATGCAAGGCAACTCACAGCCAGCGCTCACTCTTGCTTTGAACGGCGCGAGGTTGCGCTCGCTGGTTCCCAACCCTACGGCTGCGGAGTTATTTTCTGCGGTAACTACGGATGGCGAACTGTTGATGGCTAATTTGCAAAGTAATCAACTTCTCCAGGGCCCATCGGGTCTCGTTCTGAAAACAGGTGTAAGCTGCATCTCGTGGAGCAATAAAGGAAAGCAATTAGTAGCTGGCCTGGGAGACGGCACTGCGTTCCAAATGACACCCGCGGGAGAAATGAAGGCGGAGGTGCCAAGACCCCCAAATCTCGATGGAGATAAGCATGGTTAGTACATGCTCGCCGCTGCGTTTATGTAGCTATTATCGTCACTGACTAATATGGGTGGAAATAGTTTCTTCTATCTCGTGGCTCGAGAATAATGTATTTTTCATTGTTTATACCCCAACATCTGCACTGGATAGCCAACCGGAATCGTCCTACTACATCGTAACTCGCCAACCGCCAGATAGTTACACTTTCCAAAAGCTACCTGAGGCCTGTCCACCATGGGGCTTGGAGCGCAACCCTGCGTATCAATTCATTGGCCGTCTCAGAGACTTCAAGCCTGACTTGAAAGATGTTTTAATCGTGTCTTCGACTGCGTCAACAGATATAGCCATTTTCACCAAATCTAGCAAGCCGCTGTGTGAGGAAGGGGGCACACCCGTCACTGATGCATTCACACTTACCACGATGTCTGAAGATTCTAGAAGAGCCGAACTACCCCTGACAGATGATTCAGAGAATACCTCTCCAATTGGACTTGCAATTGATTTATCAAGTAAAGATATAGTTGTAGCTCCTATCCCGGGGGAAGAGATACAGGATTCTGGGTCTCCTCTACCGGAAATTCTCGTCCTCAACAATGATGGCGTGTTGTCTTCCTGGCGATTCGTGTACTCCGAGTCGATTCGGCAGAGAGTACCTTTTCATGGCCTTGTCCATGCTGGGGGAGCCCAACAAACCCCAAACCAACCATCACAACAACAGCAAACCCCACTGCCCTCATCCATTATGGCTCCTCAAACTCCCAATCCAACTTTCGGGCAACCATCGTTTGGGCAGCCTTCTTTTGGGCAGCCTTCATTTGGACAGTCGTCATTTGGAACTCCAGCTCCACATTTTGGCACCCCTTCAACCTTAGGAATGAATCGCCAGCCTCCTTTTGGGACCCCATCTGCTCTTGGCTCGCAACCTTCTTGGGCCAGTCCTCAATCGTCTAGCCAGACACCTGCTGTCAGTGGTTTTGGCACCGCTTCTGCGCTGGGCGGTTCGACTACTCCGTCGTTTGGTACCCCAAGTCTGTTAGGTCAACGGACGTATGGGTTCGGACAGCCTTCTCCCCTGGGTAAATCTATTGCTACACCTTCATTTGGGCAATCTGGTTTTGGGGGATTAGGTGCTTCAGCTACCTCCTCTGCTACGACAAGTGGTTTCCCCACTCAACCATCGAGCGGTTCTGGTGGAGGTTTTAGCTCATTTGCATCCGGTGGAGGCTTCGCTGCTGCTGCTAGCTCTACGCAGCCTTCTGGAGAAAGCCCCTTTTCAAAGACTTTTGCTGGTGACAATCCGTTTGCGAAAGCTGGGCAGCCCGTTTTCGGTAGTGCAGGAAGTCAAGCACCGTCGTCCGCAGCGTCTCAAGCATCTCCATTTGGAGGATTCACTTTAAGCTCAGGATTTAAACCAGATACAGCATCAACTACGATGGATGAAGACAAACCAGAAGAAACGAAGGGGGCGTTTTCCTTGGCTAATCTGATGAACTTTGATAAGACGACTGAAACACAACCTGTTGGGCCTGCCAAAATTTCTCCACCTACCTTCTCTCAAGCGGCTCCAGAGCCGCAAAAAGCTCCAGATGTGGTTACCCCAACCACAGGCTTATTTGGTGCACCATATCAACCTAAATCTACACCAGACACTCAGACAAAAGAATCCTCGTCGGTGTTCGGAAAACCTTCTCTGCCTATTCCATCTAAGGAAACTGAGCCTCAGAAAGTTTCCACAGTGAAGATAACGGACATAAAGACAGTAGACGAGGTCGACTCAGATCGCAAACCATCGACATCGCTTCCTTCTCTCCCAGAAGAAAGTAGTCTATCAGAGTCTACGGTCAAAGTCGAGCTACCCAGTGGTAAGGAGGAATTACCCGTTAAAGTGTCAGAACCCCCACTTCCACCGGAACCAACAAGTAGAACTTCTTATGCGCCTGGAGATACATCAGCTTCTTCGTCAGCCATATCTAAAGGTTCATATGATGAAGCGCCATTACCCCCGGATTTTATTCCCTCAAAAAAGTCAGAGCTTCCTAAAGAAGTCCCCACCTCCCTACCCTTGGAATCTGAGGGAGAATCAGCGGGCTTTGAAGATAGTGGCGAAGATGTCACCGATGATATCAGCCCTGTTGAAGAAACCGTAGATAATTGTGTTGAAAGCCTTAAAACGTCACCCGAAAGCTCATTTGGGGGACCTGGTGACAAAAGTCCGGGTAGTTCGGTTTTCACCAAACCTTCCTCATCGGTTCGCCCATTAAGGGACCAAAAACAGCTTTTCGGAGAAATAACACAGCCGATTTTTCCAGCTCCCAAATTGTCAGATGGCCGCATACGCCTAACTCCAAGGTCCCCGAGTCCAGTACGAAGGTCTCTTCTTGGGCCCAGCTCAAGGGATGGGTTGCGATCTGCCAGCGCGCCTAGCTCACCCGGTCGTGTTTTGGCTCAACGAAAAGTTACTCTGGAGAGTTCAAGGCTCTCAAACCAGATTGAACTGCCATCTGACGACGACGACCATAGTGAAGATGAAGAAGTTAGTCGCCAAGCTCAACGGTTAGCATCTGAGACCCAAGAACTGAGCGAGGATGAAGAAGATGGGCAACTTCGGGCAGATCTGGCACGGCCTCTTTCCCCCGCACCAACCTTGGACCCTTTCCTTCCACACGAGGGTTACACTGGGGAGAGTCTGAAGCCGGGAATACCAGGACAAATTGAACGACTATTCCGTGATATCAACTCTATGATTGACACGTTAGGGATTAATTCAAGATCTCTATCGTCATTCTTATTATATCAGCAAACGTCCAAAGAACTCAGCTACCAACGCTGGCTGGATATCCTCCTAAGCGAGCACCCCAGTGACATCTTGGAGGAAAACCTTCTTTTATCCGAGGTCGATAAGCTGCGGGAAGGGTTAGAAGCACTTGATGCCTCTCTCCAGCAACAACAGCTGCAAACAGTTGAGGAAACTCTCGAAAAGTGTCAACGACTCTTCAGCAAAGGTCTCGTCACTCTACGCGGCCAATGCGCCAGCTTACGACGAAGCATCGACTCGTATGTCGATGTCGTAGCCATCTCCACAGCCCCCTTATCTGCTGAACAGGCCACCATGCAGCACGACTTACGAAAAGCGTCTACAACAGTACAATCCAAAATGGCCAACCTGGAGAAAGAGATTTCCCTCCTCCGCGCCAAGATCGCCGACTCCTCCAAACCAGACTCGGAATCTGGCGCCGGCATCAACGGTTCAGCGAGCCGAAGATCCATGGCCCGCCCCACTGTCGAAGCCGTAACATCAACCATCGCCACCATGACCAACATGGCCGAGAAGAAGAGTGGCGACATCGACGTCCTCGAAGCGCAGCTGCGCAGACTCGGAATCGATGTCTCGAGCGCAGGTTCCGTGCATTCTCGCAGCCGAGAAGCTTCGCCCTTCCTCACTCCACCGCCGAAACAGCGAGGGGGAATTTCGCGCGCTGTGCCTGTCCCACCCGGGTCGCGTGGTTCCGTGGATGGTACCGCCACTGGTTTGAGAAGTGCGTATCACACGCCCGACTCTGCTAGCAGGTCCCATGTGCGCTTCCAATCAAGCTTAATGGGTAGTGCTGGGAATAGCAAGAGTTTGCTACAGAGTGTCAGTGGGCCTACGGAGTTGGTGCTCCCGGTGGGGGATGCGCAGCGGTGGCAGGCTAAGAGGAGACGGAGACTGCAGGTTATAGGACATGTACGGGTGGCGTTGATGGAGAGGAGTAGGAGGGTGAGAGGGATGGATGAGATATAATAATAACAATTACGTTTTTGTATTTGGGCGATGTTTTCATACCTGGTTGCACATGTTACTTTTTTGAAGATGCAGCTATGCTGGCAACGGTGTTTTTGTGAATGTAAAGGTTGTATATTTTTCTACATTTCTTTCGAAAGGTGTTATTTTGGCAGCCAGCTTCGTTTCATTCGTTTGATTCTTCATTCCGCAACTCCTGTAAGTAACTCAAGAACCGATATAACCCCAAACAATGATTCATACAGAACATACCAACATTCTGGCTCTTCTCTCGCGACGGTTTACTTTTTTTACCTTTATATATATATATATATATATATTCACGGGATCCATGGATATAGGTGGAAATAGAGCTAGAAATTGACTATGGGCAATCGGATTTTACGGTATCTGTGGATGTTACTCTGCGCAACTTACCTTTTTGAAAGGGGATGCTGATGTCACAATATTGAACATGGCGGTTGAATAGTTCTGTATTCTAACAGACGCCGAGCGGGGCAGTCAGCATGGTGGAGACCTTGTGTATATTCGTAGAGTGGAAGAAATATCAAACGGGAAATATAAGAAGATGACAGCGTGCAAAATAAAATATGTGAATTGACGAACTGCAACCGGCAAAAGAGTTAAAACACGCTTTGAAAGTTCTCAATTTACGGATTCACTTCACCTGGAGAAACCTAAAAACCGACTGCAAAGTCAACATGAAAGAGCGGATTTCTAACAACCCTGGAAGAGTCCCGATGTGCGAGCACTTTGAAAACCGCGCCCAAAGCTAATCTTCTATGCTCACATCATATCTCACTCTGGCGAATTCAAGAAACACAGATACACTTATCGAGCCAGATCGATTCCGCATGTAGTGGTGGTTGTGAGGATGCTTCCTTTTCCAGATGAGATACCTGCTGAACAACTCTTAGGCATTGTTCGTGATAAAGCAGAAGAGACCCGGTATTTGCCGCATACCACACTCTCTCCGTGGTGTCCCCAACCAGCATCCGTATAGACGGCGACGGACGCAGGGAGACATACCGCTCGTCATTACCATCCCAGAGCTCGAAGCAACATACATACAGGTAAAACCGAGCGGAACGTATAAGCGATTGGTGACAGCCATACTCCCAAATAGATCGCTTCGCATTCCAGATCCTGAAGAGAGCGAAAGGGATTTATTTGGTAATGACAAGTGAGCACCTAGCAAATGTTAAGGCCCATATCTGATAACTACTGTATAGACAATGGGCGAATATCGGGGTGTTTCGGAGGGCAATATGTCCAATTAACCAACAAGCCGTTGTCTTTTGAGTTCAGCTGAAACTACGGAGTTTCCTCATCAACTCGGTTGGATGATTTGCGAGGTGCCCAGGGTGCTTCTCCGCTGGCAAAGATGATTCCCAGACTGCGCCGTCATCCTATGTGGCCGAAGAACCAGGGACTCTGGGAAATACTCAGTTTCGTCAGCCATCACCTTTCAATGGTAATTACTTAGTTTTGTCGATTCCGACTGTTCCACATGCACCCGACGAGACGAACTGTTGCTGGAGAATGACGACTCTGAATGATTGATTGAGGGAAAAAAAGGGCTTTTGGTTACTATGGAATCCCATCTTCACCCAGTAAGTAACTAACTTAACAAGTTATCAGCCAATTGCCAACAAAAATGTGAAAAAACGGTCGAAGAGCAATCCATTCGCCAAAACCACCGAGCGAGGCCAAATACGGGCAAACTTGGAAATGATCCGCCAAGATTCACGATGGAGATGGGATGGTGTGTTTCTTATTGGCGCCTTTATTAGATATCTACTGGGTGTCTCTATATTTGACAGGGATAACATGTCACCCTACAATATATGAAGCTCATCAACTTATAAACTCGCCCAGGGAAGACTTTGCTGACACACAGTTACGGCTGGCGGACAGCTGGAGAATTTGGCAATGTAACCAACTCCCTTCAGTCCCAGGAGTCTATCTGCCTGGAGGATTGAGATCATGCTTGAACGTTCATACTTCCCGCAAGGATAGAAGTAGTCAGATGGCCCCGGTTCAAAGATATTATAGCGGAAGCGAATAACCCCTAATGGCCAGTTTACTACGGAGTACAAAAGACGAATAATCATTGGCTTGATTTTTCCTTTTTCTACGGTTGGATAATGATCCTACTTATTAGCTAGGGATCAAATCCTCCCACTACGACATATTACTCTGACCGAATCCACATTGATCTAAATCAGACCTCTGGAGACTGCCTGTGACTAATGGATAATGCTGGCTCTTACACGGATACTGCAATTTAATACACTCTCACCCCATTCTTACAGGCAGTCTCCAGGGGTCTGATTAGATCAATGCGGATTTGTTTGAATGGATGGTTAGCCAGCAGCATTGAGCATCTGGAGGTAATCTGCTTTGCCTTCTGCAGGTCTTCCATTTCCCCCTTTTCTCCTTAGGTTTGAAAGGAGGAAAAATCTCAATTCCCGAGCAAGATTCGGGCAGCTGTTTAGCTATTCCGGGGGCCTAATCTTCAATGCCAAAGATCTGCGCTCACTTTTGAATTCTTTGAGGTCCTGGAAGTTCAGTTAACTAGTTCACTGAACCCCCTAGGGGATTAGTTCCCTAACAGCGCGGATGTATTCAAATTCCAATACGCGTTGGCGAGGCCTTCATTCCATCCTCGCAATTCCCACCCCTCTACTCACTAACCTCATATTCCCGTGGTTGAATATGACATCCTTTCAAGTGTTCTCTTGCTCTGGGGAAATCACATTGGTGTGAAAATCCAGGATATATGCAGCCTCATCGGCGAGAAGTTGGTTTTTCCTTTCCAGACCCAGGATCCCGGACTGTTTGATAGGCCGTTCCATATGCTTTGATTTTCATGTAACTACCCACGGTGAAGATAAATACATCAGGTGAAGCAGATTCGGAAGTCTGAAATCTTTCATGATTGTTGCAAATATGAAGGGATGACAGACTGTGACCTGGAATCCCACATATACATTACTTCCCGGGTTGGTTTTGAAGATTTGGAACCTGGGGCTGTTTTGCGGAATCTTCGACTGACTTTCTGCGTAAGGTTGGGTTTGGAATATTCGCAAATACCGCCCCGTTCGTGTTAGCTGAGCTGGGAAGCCTGATGTTCTCCCACTCCCGTTTGAAGGCGTCAACTGCCTCTCGGAGGGGTTGATTTGGACGTGGATCTCCTAGCTGCTGCCCATATTGAGTGAAAGGTCGCTGTCGCATTGTAGAACGCACGTATAAAGATCACACTCACGCGATGCCTTTCTCATCCGCTGGGCATCCAGTCACAGCTTAATCTCACCGATCTACCTCAGCAAATCGATCTTCTGACCTGCCTGGCCGCATAAGCGTATCAAATCTCTTCTCTCATTCTGCCGAACGGTCTTCTTCTGAATGGGAGATAGGTTGGATTATAAGGCACAGAGCAATTGATGAGCGCTCTCCATATCTTTCACTAGCTGGAACCAAACCAACTCTCTGTGTGATTTTGGATGAGATTTCTGACTGAAGTCACATATTGACGCACCTTCTGATATTTCCTGTTCTCACGTTCATAGATCTCTATTAGAGCCCTATGTACATCTCAATCTTGGGCGTCAAAACTGGCAAGGTTATCTTTCTCATCCTTCATACAAATTTTTCCACGTTGGAAATCAAGGGTCAATGAGCTCTGGGACGTTATCCCGGGCTGGGTCAGAATATTCCAACACTCCGCGATTGCCAGCAACCGACATCACCTGGGTTAGCCAGCCGTCCCAATCCTTTGATTGGCAAGGAATAATCCTAGATTTGGCTAAGGTCCCAGTCTCCGCCGGTTCTTTGGGTAGCGACAGCTTCGCTCGGAATCACTGGTCAGATCTTCGAATTTTCGGCAGCTTCTGTCAGCTTCACGGCGGGTGAAGCTCCTAGGGAGTAATAATAGGATTGGGATTCACCAGGGTCATCGGCTGTTAACTACGGGCTATTCGGGCTCATCACTGTCGGAAGGTTCGGCTTCAAAGATCTTATAACAGAGGCGAATTTCCACTAATTGCTAGTAGGGTAATCCAGAAAAAGCGAATATCAATTTTGGCTTGATTTTTCTCTAGGATCTACGGTCGGATTTGATCCTACTTAGTTCTAGTTAGGGGTCAGATCCTACTTCTACTCTGAACCGAAACCGACAAATTCAAACAAGAAATTCAACCGTATCAGCGAATTAAAAAGCCTCTCATCCACACAAGCAGGAAAATCGCTCATATGGCGCTATTCCGGGTACGGAGTGGCTGAACACCCCCTGGAGAGTTCCGTCCAACGTCTGCCCCAAATTTGATATTTAGTTGCTCCGTCTGACGCTGCGTAAATATTCGGACACAGATGAATCTGTAAAATTGGCCTCTTCTGCTTCTTAGTAACCAGAGTCCGTATGCCAGTTTTACCCACAGTAGCTAACACTGGAAGCAAAAATTGCGCTGCCTTTACTTGGACTAACTAACTACCAAATCCCGTATTCTGTTCTAAAATGTATCAGTCGTCTTCGAACCCCGCCTCCTGCCATCCCACTCACTCTCCCCAGTCTACCGCGGGTTCAATACAGCGGTCAGCTAAACAGCCGGAGAACAATAGGAACAATGACTATTTTTATGGACACGTTGGTGCTAATAGATCTAGTGGAGAAAGCGGGCCAGTTGCCGGAGCGAATGAGTCTTCTTCACCGAGCCCTGCCGCACCCGCACCCACACCCACACTTCGAATCCGTCGTCGCAATCGAATGATTACTTCGTGCCTGGAGTGCCGACGGAGGAAGCTGAAATGCGACAGACTCCACCCTTGTACCAAGTGTTCCAAATCCAACCGGGACTGTTTGTTCCTGGCCCCGGCCTGGGATGAAAATTCCCGGAAGAAACTCGCAGATCTCAAAGATAGGATGGGGTCACTGGAACGAGCATTGGAACATGATGCTGCACAAATACAGGCTTCGCGAAAAGAGGGCGGTCAACCTGATGGCGATGGCCAGGCTGGCTCAAATACATTGGCAGGCATGCTTGAGAACTCAGCTGAGGCGCAAGCTCCTGTGCCGGAAGATGAAGTGAACCTGGTGCCAACTCCGCTTGCGGTTCAGGATGCTGGGTATGAAGATGGATCAGACGATGATAACGTTGATCTTGGATTCAAGCTGGGGAAGCTAAGGCTAACAGACCGTATTGGCGGCTTGTATCGTCCCAAGGTCGCCGAAGAGGTCTGTTCATAGTTTATTTTATTTTTATTCATTTATTTATTCATCCATCCATCCATTCATTTCCTTATTTATTTCCTTATTTTTTTATTTTATTTTATATATATATATATATTTCAAATTAATGTATCTCTGCGGTGGAGTCGTTGTTTCTGTTAGGGAATCACTGGAGTATTTATTGGGCTGACGTCCCTGTTGTTTAGCTTGCCGTGACTCTCAACGAGTTATCAATGTCAGACAAGCTTGCAGATAGATCCAACCCCAAGTCCTCACGCATCTGGAAGCTAATGCCTAAGGACACAGAGTCCTATTTTGCCCCAGGACCCTCTTACATCGCTCCTTGCTCGGATTTCATTTTCGGGTGTGGTTCACAGAGGTACACTCTCATCGATTTTCTTCCATCACGGCCTGCTGCCGACAGGTTACTACAACAATACTGGGAAGCAGTAGATCCCATAGCCAAAGTTTCTCATCGACCTACCGTTGAAAAGCAGTATAATGATTTCTGGCTCCAGGTTTCCCGGGGGGTTGAGCCCCCCTACTCTGTGCAGGCAGTTATATTTGCCGCAATGTTTTCTGCTGCTATAAGTATGACAGAAGACTCGATATTAAGCACGTTCGGGGTTGCACAAAATAAGCTCACAGAGAACTTCCAGTTAGCAACAGAAACGGCTTTGGGAAAAGCAAACTTTTTGAGAACTACCAAAACCCAAACTATCCAGGCTTCGGTCATGTACATGGTATGCTGTCCTTGCTCTATCATTTCCCCTCTATATTCTGCCTCACATTCTGTCTGAGTGGGCGCTGATGTTTGAGATACAGATTCCAATGTGCCGGGGAGAAGTATCTCGTGCCCATTCCGTTCTTGTTGGAACCATCATTCGTTTGGCTGAGTGCATGGGATTCCACCGTGACCCTGGAGAACTTTCTCTTGACCCCATTGAGACACACGTCCGGCGGATGATCTGGTACCAGTTGTGTTTTCTAGACATCCGGACGGTTGAAGCACAAGGCCCTCGCCTCTCGATTCGCCGCGAGGACTTCTCTACCAAGTTTCCTCTCAATGTAGACGATAATGACCTGCGTGCGGGCGCTCCTACATCTCTCAATGATAAGCCTTACTGGACGGACATGACCTTTACGCGACTTCGTTTCGAATGCCATGAATTGCAACGGCTTGTTAATATTGATAGGCTCAGAGTAGAGCAAAATCTGATAAGTTTAACGCACGTATTAGGAAAAATTGAAGCTTTCCGAAGGGCTACCCTTAAAAAATATAGCCCTCTGATTGACGTTCCAAATCCTAAACCGATACAGCGGGCTGCACAACTTTTCCTTTCCTTATATATTAACCGTGCCTATATAGCGCTGTTGCACCGGTATCATCACAACACTACTGTGAGAATTCCTGACAGGCTCATGCAAATTATCCTAACAACTGGTGTGCAAATGACGGAAGATGCGATTGCGCTCGAAACACAACCGGAGCTCAGGCCATGGTACTGGTATTCGACAGCATTTAGCCAGTGGCACACAGCCCTCCTCCTCCTTATCGACATTTTTAATTATCCGTTGCGCAAGGAGGCTGACCGCATCTGGCGATGTCTTTATTATGTTTTTGAAATTTCGCCTTCTCCCTTTGAGCTTGGTGGTGAGAGATACAGCGAGAGCAACAGGAGGGAGCTTTTGGAGGATCGGCATCAGAAAGGTCGCATGATCCTGGGCCAGCTTAAAGATAGAATGATATGCTATCGAGCGAGAAGGAAGCTGAAAATTCCCGCCAACATGCAAGGGTCGCAGATAGCGGAAGACCTTGACGCATCAACATCAGGCCGCAAGAGGGAAATACTCAACAATACGGTTGATTTTGGTTATCCAGCCACGCAGGAGGGGTACACTGCTCCTGTATCTTTAGTCTCTGGCGCTGCTCAAACACCACCTGGAGCCTGCCAGACATCCAGACCACCGTCTCAGTCACAGCCACCTTCGACTGTGGTTTGTTCACAAACGGCTGAATCATATCAGGACGTAAACGTACAAAATCAACACGCAGCGACATCACATTGGCAGCAGCAACCGCTGCAATCAAACCCACCGCTACTAACTCATTCACATCAAATTCCACCAATTCCCCAACAGCAACACGCCCAACCCCTCCAACTCTTCAGCTATGGTCCGTTACAGCATCTGCAGACGCCCAAATCCATGACTGATTATGCGGACCGCGTTGCCAGAGGCCAAAGCCTTGATTCAGAAACTAATAACTCTGAGGATTCCGGATCGACAGGATTGTGGTTCTATCCTGGTGTTGGGTCTGGAACTGCTGGAGCAGCCCCTCCTCCCCTTCCTCCCAATGGTAAACTAACCTTTCCTGACGTTGAGGACTTCCCCAAGGGTGACTCTGCGGAGGATCTGCCCCTGCTGGACATTGACTGGGTAAGTTTGGTCTGCAAAAAGGCAACATCAATCGTACTTCAATTCGTCATTTTCTTTTTTAATTACCCTCCCCCAGCATTTCCTGTTTATGCTCCTGATAGAATATTACCAAATTCTCCAAAAAAGCTCTATAAGACATTGAAACGTTAACACTTGTGTTTCCATACAGAATGAGTGGGATAAACTTTTCCCTCCGGACATCAATACCGGCGACCTTAACCTCCCTCACCCACCAACATACCTGCCAGGTTCCTCCGGCCTTAGCGACTTTGCTCCACCGGATGCTGGACCTGAAGGTCAAAACTATGTATCCTATTCGCACAATCCTCAGGGCTACGGTGCCATTTAGCAACGATAATCCCTGCCCTGAGCACGTCTCCGCCTGCTAGCCAACGAAACAACCACCCAGAAATCCTCCACTTTGTAAACCCTTGCAGGCCCAAGGCACTCAACTCTCGTGTTCTTTGCTCAAAAAATGCCGCGAGACCTGGAAATACGTCATCCGTAATATCTTCAAACCGGATATCTTCAGGCGCATAGCCAGCTTTTGCCAGTAGCCGTTTATATTCGGCTGGAGTGACAAAGTTCGAAAACGGGGCGCAAAGGGCAGGTGTGAGACAACGTAGGGCCAATGTATTTATCATTCTTTTTACCGTCATAAGGAATGAGGAAGATTGCGGTTTCGGGGGTAGGAAGAGGTCAAAAGCTAGCAAGGATGCGCGAAGAGTGGAATGCGAGTACTTGAAGAGCTCGTTTCGTGAGGGGCTGAAGTGATATAACGTGTCCAGACCAAGGACGTAGCGCTCCTCATCCGTTTCTCTCCAAAATATTTCTTCCTTCTCCATGCCCTCACGATGCTTTGTATGACGAAAAGCATTGGAAATCGACCGCTGTATATCTTCCGGCCAATCGGATGGTTTAGCCGCATCTCCGCAGAAAAGCTCCACGGTTCCTCCTGCCAATCCCTTACCCCTATTTACACCATTTTCAACAAGTTCATTATCTTCTGTTGCAGCGTTGCATTTCCTTCCTGCTTCAGCAACTCTAGACTTAGCAAATTCGTACTGCATCTTCTCGATCGTGATGCCGATGTAGTGATGGAACAGTGGTGAACTCGCTTGACCATCGGGATCCTCTAACCTGCCTTGGGCTGTGCTCGAAATTCCTTTCGGAACATCATCATCATCATCATCATCACCACGATCACTTACACCAGCCTCTCTTTTTTTCATCAAATATAATGTCTGTTCACCACAGCCAAATCCAGCATCCAAAATTACTCTTCTTCTCTTTCTTGTTGGTGCCCCATCCCCATCTTTCCGGCTCCTTTGCCGTTCCTGAGGCTTCTCGGTTATGATCAAGGAGTCAATATCAATGTCGTCGGTAGTATTGGCTTCAACGTCCAAACCTGCGGTTCGCAGGATTTTATCCAACAATGCCTCACAGGCGCGGGGAAAATCTGTTGTGTTCTTTGTGTTAAGCAAGTGGTTAGCAACTTCATATAGTAAGGGGAGGCTATGAGTGCCACAACTTTTTTTTTTGGTTCCTTTTTGGCACGTCCTCAACCAAATTGCAAGATGAGGTATTAAACCAGGCATGGGGGAATTCGAAATGTATAAATAAATGTACATGAGATAGGATACACCAATCAAATGCTGTTTAACTAACAACCTCCGTATCGTAAAAATAACTACCCTCTTATACCCGCTAATCAACCCTCCTTTTCCCTCCTAAACTCAAATTCCGTAATAAGAGACAACTCAATGGAGAAATGAAACGAGATGAACCAACCTTCCAATATCCCATATTCATCCACATTTCCTCTGGTACAAGGCTAGGTAAATTCAGCATCCCATGGTCCAAGCTGTACAGACCGTGCTCCTTTTCCGCTATCTCATGTGCGCCTCCACCACTCTCGCCGCTAAGACAGAGCGAAAGCAGCCGTTTTATTATTGCCTGCAGCAGACGAGAGAGAAAGGGTGTTGTGAGGAGACCGAGGATTAAAGTGAGAAAGGGAGAGAAATGAGAGACATCTCGAAAGTCCATTCCTCTTCTCCTTTTTGGCTGTTCCAAGCTGCTAACTCTAGTTACCGTTAGGTGGTGGAGAAGGGAGTCGAGGAAGATGGATGTACGTATATATACCCTGATGTCTACCCTTTACTCCGTACAGTCCATACAAGCCATGGATGCATTCCTAAGAACCCTTGAGGGTAGGTCTGCTGACCTGCGAAAAATGTCAGTCAATTTCGACTGTGTGGGTTACATGGCGTTTAACCGAACAATTGGCAAAGCTAGCTATAGTTACGGCTTGTCTTGTGTGGAGCACCATCCGCTTGATATTCTTAAGCAACTAAATATCTCCATGGAGGAGGCTGTTGTTAAGCATTGCTATACCTAGAGGCTAGTGGGTATATATCTTGCTCTGGAATTCAGTCCTTCAATCAATTCCAGGCTGGCTGTCGTTTCTTGAGACATCGGATCTTCCGCAAATACTTTCCCCCCCACCCGTTGAACCAAGGGTCCCTTAAGAGTCAAGTTAATCTATGACCCGAACCAAAGTCAGGTTGGCCTTATTCGCCGAAATGACATCATTCTCTCCGTGTCTCCGATAACTACTGATTGATCGAATAGAATCATATATCATAAAACACCCCGCTCTCCGCAGAAATGTTCATTTACTCAAAGATCTGTGTAGAAATATATGTAGAAATATACCTCGTCCAATTGCTTTATTTTATTCTGAATCCGTACCATTTCAGACTAAACAGAATCAGGAGAGAAAGGAACCAATGCATCAGGCTCAAAGCGTGACCGAGATCGTCTGTCTAACTTTCAAAGAAGGGATGAAGCCTGAAGATCCGGAGAATTGTGATGGGCGAAATCTTTACTGATGTCCTGGAGGCTGCAGAGTGACTATCAGCATCCGATCTGGGGACGGACTGTCGAGGATCAGAACGATATTGTTTGGACTGTTGGTTAGTCTTTCGTACATTTTATTCGCGCTAGTTTTCCTCATTCTCCTGCCCGCATATAACTGAAGCCGGCCCCGAAATTGTTCTATCCATTAAGTTGTCGCACATGCATTCACATAGGAAGTAATGTATCTGGATAAGATCTTCAAATATTCCTGGAGTCAGCCGATTGAATCAACCGGCTAGTCAACCACCAAACAAATGGCGGGACACCATCTCCTCCGTCCCCTCAGCCAAAATAACCCCTATCATCTCCCCTTCCTCCACCCCAATACCACTGCACACAACCCTCACTCCATCCCTCCCAATCTCCCAACTCCCAACAACACCAACCGTCGAACTCGCCATCCTCCCCTTCCCCAGCGCCCTCCCTTTAGATAAAAAAAAGAAGCCATAAACCACTCGTTAGCAAACATACACTCGAATATGCTACATATGGGGCCCACAGCAACCGCAGACGGCAACAGGCAATGACAACAAGAAAAAAAAAAGGGACACGTCGCTAAACAGCAGCAAGAGGGACAGCGACAGAAGATACCTCCCTGTCGAGCGCCAGCAGCAACCGTAAATCCTCCACAACCGCCCCATTTGGTTTTCACTGGGATGGGTTGAACGGCCGGGTACGGTGGAGCATGTCGACAGTCCGTCTGGGGAGGCGGAGTTGGCTGTGCTGATGGTTGGGTGGGGAGTGTGGAGGCACATGAAAGCTGTGATGAGGATGGATGAATTTGAAAGAAAGCTGTTGCACCCGTCAGGGACAAAATGTGGCCTGAGATTATAAACTGTTGGAGATGGGGTATGTCAGATTTAACTATTTGAAGCTTTGAATCCTGTAATAGTTAACTAACTAGTTAACTATATGGTGATTATTAATAAGCATGAACGTAGTTGAGATGGTTAGTGACATTGACATTAATATCTGGTAGGTAAAAGTACACCACGTTAACGAAGAAAGAAGAATAGCTCGTGGGCTACAAGTTGAACAACGGATCAGAAAAGGTTCCTAGGAGAGGAAGGAAGAAAAAATAAGGGACCAAGCAAGTAATGTTAATGAACAACCACAGGTAGCAAAAATTGTAATTAAAAACAAAGTTAACAAATTCGTAGAAAATACTTTTTCAATTAAACTCCTCCCCAAACTCAAGCAAAGGGATCATAAGAAACATGAATCTGAGAAATAATAGAAAGAACAGAAACATGGAAAAGGAAATCTTGAGATCCTAAATACGATGTTTCTCACTCTCTGCCAAAAAGAAAAGTGGTTAGCAAAAGAACCAACATATCGAGAGCAAAGGCTTAAAACTCCAGTTAAGCTGCAAAATATCATACCTAGCCTTGAATAAAGCATATAGAGAGCCATCTGGTTACATTCGGGTGTTCCTGTAATGGTGACGAGACGTTCATTGCTGTTATCCTGAGGCTCATTGATCTTGATCACACTCCCGCTAAGATGGCGTATCTCATTGATCTTAGCCCCTCCCTTACCAATGATCGCACCCACCATATCGTTGGGGATGAAAATCTGCTGTGTCACCGGTGCTCCTGGAACCACACCTCCAACTGGCTGAGAGCTAGGTGCACCATGGACTTGACTCTGTTGAGGTGCGCCGTATGGCGATGGCTGGTGGGGGCCAGCTCCTGTGTAGCCGGGACGGGAGGATGCGCCGTAGTGGAGTGCTTGCTGGGGCATTTGGGGTTGGCCGGGTTGGCCGTGGACGTACGGCACGCCATATCCACCGGTAGATACAGCGCGGGTTCCCTGGGGTTGATGTCTCTTGAAGGTATCTGGGTGGCCATACTGTCCACCAGCGGGTTGGGGGATGTACGGAACTACCTGCATACCTCCTGGGACGACACCGGCAGGCCCACCGCTACGAGTTGCGTAAGCGGAAGCTGCAGGACCGCCAAATCTTTCAGTCAGTTGTTCTACCAAAGTAACAGCAACATAATAGGTTGCGATGTGAACTGCGTCAGCAACACCAAGGATAATAAGGGTCCGTTCAGTGGAGAGGGGAAGACATGAATCGGAAGCATTAAGACGGGCACCAGAAGCCTCTTGGATCTCGCGAATGCGAACTCCAGACTTGCCGATGATGGATCCAATGAGGAGGTGGGGGATGAGGAGACGGAGGGGGTAGGTTTTTGATTGAGCTGTGGATGGTGCCTCTAGGGGTTCATTGTTCAGGGTGCGGATGATCAAACCAAAAGCCTTTTTGGGTGAAATGCATCGTCAGTGACATGTGAGAGTAAGAAAGAAAAAGGAATCATCAAAACCTGATCATTACAACATACCTTGGCAACTGCATCTTGCATGCCACTGACCGTCAAAATCCTTTCGACGGCACCACGGGAATAGTCACTAACGGTGCACTTGGCACCAGATAGGCGACGAATCTGAGAAACATTTTCACCTCCTTTACCAATACAAGTCGCTGCTTCAGCACTAGAGATTACAGCACGAATATGGATCCATCCACTCTCATCTTGGGTAGTATGCTGGGACGGGGGTTGCGATGAAGCTCTATCATTCTGAGAAGCTGTGGATTGAATCGGCTGAGTCTCCAGTATTTGAGCAGCAGTGCCCTTGCCATTGGCGTTAGGGGCATCAGGAACAACTAAGTCACCTTGCTCATCCTTCACACCATTTTCTCCGGCGGTGGCAGCGGCAGCGGGCAGCGGTGCAGCCTCAGCCTTGGTTGCTTCTGTTGCAGTGCTTTCAGCTTCTTGTGGAAGCTTAGATTCTTCGTCATCCCCCTTTACTACTTTGTCCAGAGCTGGGCGTTTGGCATCTGGTTGATCGGTAGGTCCCGATGGTGAAGAGGGGTCCTCGAGGGGGCGTTTTGTCGACGCGACGGCGGAGGTTGGAGAGGCAGACATTTTTCTTTCGACTGGAGAAAAAATACGGTTCTCGGATGGGATATCTGGTTCTGAACCTGGACGTTTCTTTTCTTTTCTGTTGCTTTACTTACGTGAAAAAAGAGGGTCGAAATAGGATCTGAATATCTTTTTTATAAATTGTTTCTTTTTCAATCGGCTATGTACACCAGGGATTTCCCAAGGAAAACTTGCTGGTGCAGGTGGTCGACTGGAGAGGAGAGTTGGTGCTTGGAGATATGTAGGCTGAGGTGTTGGAGTCAAGGAGCAAGTGTGGTAGTGGTAGCAGTAGTAGCAGTGGGTGCTGGAAACGATGCGGAGTAATCAGAGTGAAGTTCGACGTGGAAAGGGAGGCAGGTGTTGGTTTAGAGGTGAGAATGTTGAATTTTCAGCAGGATGGAGCAGCAGGCTCCTGGAGAAACTTGGGAGATGTTGGGACAGCAACTTTATCGACAACACAGGAGACGGAGGGGTTGTGATATGGTGAATAGTGGTGGTGAAAAATGACGGAGGACCTCTAGCCAAAGAAGGATTTTGGAAGCTTTGATTGATAAAGTTATAGGATCAAAAAGAAGGATAAACGCAGATTCGCTGGACTTGTCCCTCTTTTGCTTCTTCTCCTCTTCTTGAAAAGATCTGTTTCCTCGTTTACTTTTCCCAGACCTGATCCTGCGAGAAACCTATAGTCTTTATTAGCACTTGAGACTGGGGGAACGAGGGTATACTAAAGTGGGAGGGGGGATTCTTGGAATGACCGACAATAAAGAAGCTTGGTAAAACAAGGGGGTGGAGTGGGATGGGATAAGGAGAGAACAGAAAAAAAGAGACACAGAGAGGGACGGATGGGGAATAGAAGAACGGGGAGAATAAGACGATGATTGCGATGACCGATTTTGGTGCAAGATGCGATGCTGTCTGCAGTGGTGTTGATGGATGAAGATGAGATGAGGTTGACGAATTTGCTGAACTCCGCAGAGAAAAAGGCGTTGAATGGGAGGTTGAGATGAGGTTGGAAGGTGCAAGAGCCGCAAACGGCTAAACTGTGGGGGGAGGCCGGATGCGGACTAACGTGCTGAGCTAAGCCGATTGACGTGGATCACGTGCAATATTTGTTCTGCTTAGCTAATGGTTAGTCCGCTGGTTATGTTTTCAATAACTAGTGAATGATCCTATCTCATATGCCTGTTAACCCTCTCTCTTTCATGGAATATTATTCATTGAACTGGAGATTCCCCTTCAATTGAGGTTAGCTCTTGATTGCCTTGTTGAGAATTCAGTTGTAGTTAGTAGGATAGGCTTGAAAGAGCAACATCATACACCTTGGCAGCTGTTCATATGCTTGAAAATTACTAAGTTTCATAAGCTCCAATGGCTAAAGAAGTCTTCCCTCCTGATTGAAAGCTTGATCTTCTTTAAGATGGTGGGCATATTGAATGATTTGGTGGATTCAGACAGTTGGAATGGAACAGTGATTGCTTACATTAGTTAACTAATCGTGCCGCTGCGCAACCTACACCTCATGTGGGTGTGTTACACCAAAAATGATAAAAACACTGAAATGATAAAAATCTTGCAATTTTATCATCTTCATCATCTTCATCAATTAATAACTCACCACAATGTCAAATAAGGATAAAAATATCAAAGACTATATTTAAAAAGCTGTCATTTATCATCAAAAAAAATCAAATTTTAAAATATTGTCTTCGTCATAAGAATTTAAGGTTTCTTATTAACATCTTTGAGTGTGTATCAATAGAAGGAATCTGAATACTGCAAAGATTCCAGTTAACAAGAGATTAAATAAGAGTCAGAAGAATGTAATTAAATGATGAGTCAAGATGCTTGATGAAAAGAATTGTCTTCTCACAGCTGAACATATTGAAGATTTCACAAATTCAATGCTCAGATGTCAGTACATAGATTCTACTATCTCTTCTTCAAAAGTTAGCAAGATGTAAATTTATAGATTCATTGAATGCCTATCTGAGTATAAATAAATGAAATAGAAGTCAATGAATTCAATAAGAGTGGCAGTTGAATATATTAAATATACTAATATATGATTTGAACATCTCTGAATTCTATTTGAGCAGTATCAATTTCATATCTGTGACATATATAACTTTGATGAAATTGAATTTCAAGAAGGACAAGAATGTGGAGAATGAGTTATAACTGCTTTTAAAGAAGCTAATTCTATTATTTTTTTATTTATTTCAAGAGATTTAATTACAGTCATTGAATGTGTATTCATGAATAATTATATCATTCTGCCATTGATAATTTTGACCTTCAAAATACATTTGAAAAATTAATATACACAGACAAATTTACTCTGCAATTATAAAATTACTATATCAGATACTGAATTTATAAATAATAAAATTGAATTTGAATAGCTTAAATATTTCAATATTATTGCAGAAAAATGATAGAAGAGAAGTTATCAATTGCTTTTAATGAATAATTATAAATTTCATATCACTGAGAAGTTCATACAATATACAGATCTTTATAAGATAATTTTATATAAATTTTCATTGCATATTACTCTTTTGCTATAATTTCTGAATAGTATATCATTTCAGAAATATAAGCATTATCATTCAAAAGCAGTCAACTATTCTGCACATCATGATCTTGTTAAATATGAAAAACAACAGTTCCTACAAGACCTCTCAGCTATGCAAAAACAGATTTTTAAATCTGATATAATAGCTATAAAATGAGCTTATCATGATATATATTCATGGAATTCTAACTGAGTTCTTGACACTCTTAAGCAGTGAATCTCATCACCTCCTTTACTGCAGATTTATAAAGATAAGAATGATTTAGATCACATATCTATCTCTTTCTTTCAGCTATTCTCATCAAAGAAAATTTAAAAGCTGAAACATTATATTAATATTGCGGAAAACACCATACAAAGTATTAGAGATACTCTTGATTTAAAATCATTCATCTTGACATGTCATTTGAACAAGATATTCAAAGCAAGTCTAATTAATATGAAAATTAATGAGTAATAAATCACTGAATTAGAGAACTTTCTCAATGTCAGTAAATACTGCAGAGCTAAAACAACTTATAATCAGATTCAAGTAGGGGAAGTTCTCATTATTAAAGATGTCAATAGAAAAATCAAGCAGTGTAAGAATAATGAAGCTGAAAAAGAGCAGAATAAGAAGTAATGAAAACTTGAAGTTAATCTTATGAAAATTGACAATAACCTACTCACACTACTGACAAAAAAGGAATTAAATCAATTTAGAGATGACACACATACTGAGAATGATGTAGATAATCTTTTTATTATAGATTAGCTACTGGTTGTTTATATAGAGTGCAATAATAAGGATGTGATTCAAGATTTTTATCATTTTGGTGTTTTTATCATTTTGATGTGGTGCACCCACATGAGGTGTGGGTTGCACAGCAGCACAATTAGTTAACAAACTATAGTTAGTTACCTGCCATGAAATAATTAATTACATATCAACAAACACCATTTGGGAAACAGATGTGTAAAACATGGCGTCTCAGCAGGATACCCTTAACAAGATACGCCAATTCGCTGAAAGCAATCGCAAACTCGAAGAAGAACGCGCCAATCATCCAATTGACCATCATGCGTATAATCGCCAACTCGACCAAACCCTAAAGCAGCTTCAAGATCAAGTAAAACGCCAGGAATATGCCCTGCAAGAGGTTGGTTACAGTCAATGTCAATTGCCCTACACCTCTCCCATATCTGCAATCCATCCCTGTCCCAAAAATAAATAAATAAAATAAAATAAAATCATAAAGACTAACTAGAAACACAAAACTCGTCCAGCTCCGTCTCTCCACTGCAACCACACTCCCCAGCCCAGGCCTTAGCCCACATGCACGTCTCGCCCAAACCCGCCGCGCAACAAAAGCCTACAACTCTCTCTCCCAAACAGACCCAGTTCTACCACCCCCAGATTCCCTCCTAAGCCCCCTGCTCGCCCTACGTGAAACATTCCGCCAGATCCTAGACCTCAAATCCAGCATATCCACTGTAGCTCACCACCTCAGAACAGACCGTGAGCGACTAAAAGCTGAAGAAGCAGCCCTACGCGACGCAACGCTAATTAGCACCGGTCTAGATGAGCGCATAAGGGACCTGCAAACCATGCGGGCAGGGGATCGGGAGAAGGAGGCGAAGGCGCCCACGCAGCTAGCGAAGGAGGTCATGCAGCAACAGCGCAGGCGCAAGGCGGAGTTGGAGAAGAAGACGACTGCGCTGAGGGAGGCGTTGACGGGGTTTGTGGATGAGCATTTGGCTTCGATGTTGGCGGCAGAGGATTTGGGGGGGCTGGTTGTTGGGGATCAGATTGATGTGCCTGATTGGACGTTGGAGGCGGGTTATACGGCGCATGGGAAAGAGAGAAAGGCTGCAGGTTTCGCCGCAAGTGGTGGTGGGACTACAGGTGCGGGTGCGGGGAGGCAATCGAGACAACAGCGCATTGATGAATTCGTTCGTCGCCGGTCGCGTGGAGATGGGGATGGAATTGGAGATGGAAATGGCGATGGCGATGACGATGACGACGACCAAGGGGGAAGAGAAAGTAATAAACGTGAGGCTGCCGGAGCGGAAATGCATGCACTTCTTGATTCGTTGCTAGCGGTGGCGGAGACTTCTTCTTATATTGAGCTGGAGCAGGAAACTGCCGCGTCTAGGTTCCTTGTCAAGGCCAAAATTGCCCAGTTTCACCCGCGTGATGCGCGCCGTTTGCGCTTGATTGATTTTGCGAGGGAATTGGTTGACTGATTCATAGAAGTGTTCTGTGTTTCTGCCTAATTTCTATAATGAGTTCACAAAGGGATATCCACCCGTGCTACATAAAATTTTATCTGGCGAATTGTTCTTTTCTGTCCTGGCAATTAAAGAGTTCCAAACAGCACACCACCCTAAACCTAGTTGATGGTATCATCCCTCAGCGCAAAAAGCTGCTTTATCAACTCGTCCGCATTCGCACGAATGGCGTTGTGATACATGACATTCGTGACGAATTGCTTGCAGTTCCTGATCTTCGTTGCGGTTTCTGTTGCCAATTCGAAATGTACATACATATCATCTACGAACGTTGCTGAATATACTGGAACCTCATTCTTTGCCAGTTGCTCTTCATCATACAAATCTGGCCATCCATCATAGGCTGCGATTATGTCTGAAGCTGGTTTGATCTTGCTAAGCTCGCTAGATGATTCAAATATGTGTGGGTATATCTGCGCGTACATTACGTACAGGGCAAATGTGTGTCAATTTTGGGTGTTTTTTGTCCGAAAACGGAGAATATGTTCCACTCACCATTTCTCCCGTAAAATATACTGGGTCTCCATCAAATTTGATTTGGAATTGAGGATATTTTGATATCAATTTGTCCGCGCACCAATTGGATGCCTCCCTATTGAAAACGTTAAATATACCGACAGAGACAACTTATCAGGTTAACAAGGAGCCACACACCCTTGGCAATATATAACTTCATGAAGGACTGAGTAGAGGATAGCATTGTCGAAGTTTGAAGCATTGTCGAGTATTGAAATTGTTGGGGTCGTAAGAAAGTGGAAAGTTTCCAACTCACTGTGAGTCCGCAAGATGATGTCTGTGCCAATTAATGATCTGAATACAAGGGCACAATTGTAATACGTGGAATCATACCGTGGATGGAATCCAGGCCCCCTATTTTTCAAAGTTAGCCAAACAGATTTACCCTAGAACTAAGATAAGGAGATTGCTGTCTGCCACGTACCTCGCATACCAAACGATATCCCCAGCGAGAGAAATCGTGAGGCAGTTAGTATGCCATTCGAGAGCTGTATTGGGTTTTCATTCAGATACCGCAAAATATCATGAACCCTGCTGACATCCTCGGGAAACTTAGAGTAATATGCCACATTCCGTTCCAGAACCTTTTCTGTTGTGCTTCAGCTAAAGCAGCCATTTCAGCCAATATCTTTGGAAACATACCGTATGTTCGTTTGAGTACAGACTCAGGACCTCTTCTGAGGGGAGGAAGCCCCCCAGTGGTGAAAACCTCTCGCAAGGCTTCAGGGCTACACAGCTAAAGTCAGCCTCCATACAATCATCCAGGAGCGCGACAAAGGAGGAAGTCTGGTAATCGTAAACTTGAAGCTCACAATTTCGAAAGATACGTGATTGCGCAGAAACCACCAAAACTCTGCCCGAGGAGGGTCCATTTCTTCTTCTCCGGTGGGTAATCCGCAGTCAAATAACCACGGATAGCCTCGCAATCCCGTACGATGTTATCAGCACGGAATAGTTTAAGGTACTCGGCTTGCTGGATGGCATCTCCCACGAGATCAAGGGTGGCAGCAGTAATTGGAGTACTCAAACCCGTCCCTCGCTGGTCGAGCAATAGGATCTATATCCGAAGTAAGTGAAAAATTGACCAATGAGAGTGATGAGAGGGGAGAGAGGTTTTCGGTTAAATATAGTTATCAACTTCGGACATTGAACCAGACCAAATAAGAATAATAAGAATAATAATAATAATAATAAGAAGAAGAAGAAAACAAGAATAAGAATAATAACCGGAGCCCACTATTCAAATCACATACCTGATATCCCTTATCCAGCACAATCTGCACCCAGCCAAGATCCTGGGGCGGAGAGCAACCCATTCCCGGCCCACCTTGAAGATAAACAAACCAAGGCAAGACCTTTGGCGCTCGGGCTAGATCAGCCCCTGGTTCTCTACGAGCTACGGTCCGCCCAAAGAGCCGAATGGTGGCTTCATCTGGCCGATTGTAATCCAATGGGACATCCCAGAACCATTCTGTCACTCTCAATCTGCCTGTTGATTGTATAAGCAGGAGATTTAAATGGTTATCAGGTAATTTTGGTTGCAAGAATCTACAAAATTGGTATTGTATTTGACATAGCAACTGAAAGGAGGAGAGCAACACACCTGGGACAAAATGCGGTCTCGACCGGGCTAGTTTTGCGAGCCACATGATTGGGAATTTCGGGATATTTGATGCACAACAGGAGGAATCAACCGGCAATGCAAGAATGTCTTTCATGTAATGAGTAGTTACCTCGAGGAGGTTGTGGTAGAGATAGTCTGAGGGTGAATGTTAATTTCAATTTGTTAGATTGCAGGGTCTGGACCATGAAATAAAGGTAACCGAAAGTAGAGTTCAACATAAGCGATCACTATAAACTATCTATACAAATATCATAAACTAGGTTAAATGCAACAGTTACATTTGACAGAATGGCAAGCTTGATTCATTGCGGAGTTTGCTGCTACGAGAACGACTATGGTGGAGAACAGGTCACGTGACGGAAGTGTCCGACTTAACTACATAGTTATAAGACTCTAGTCGATGTTTTCATACAAGGTTGTAACAACGATTGAGGAACTACAAGGTGATAACCTGCATTATGATCTGTGCTGCTCAGACAACCAACCTCAAGGATGCATCTAAATTAAATAGTTTGGCCCACTTAAAGCAAGACCCCATATGGTTAGAGTTGGATGTTAGTTCTTTGCTTCACAGGAGCTATTTTTTCCATCGATAACTATCCCACCATGAACACCACCCCTTCTACAGACTTAGCGAAACATCGCAATCATGAGCATTCAACCTCTACAAAATCCCCAAGAAGATGACTCTACTCTCCAAATGTGGCAAACGGCCCTTTCTCCATGGACCTCATCCATTCTCCCCCATGCTACCAATCTCTCCAGGGCCCGCGCATCACTTATAACCCCGCTCCCCGCCAACGGTCTGGGATTTTCAGAGACAAAAAGACATATCTTGGACGATATAATCCCTGGCTTCAACGGCAGCAGTCTATGCCCTAACTACTACGGCTTCGTTACGGGAGGAGTAACCCCCGCCGCCCTGCTAGCGGACAATATAGTATCGGCCTATGACCAGAACGTCCAGGTGCATCTGCCAGACCACTCTATTGCAACAGAAGTGGAGCATCAAGCATTGAACCTTCTGCTTGATTTATTTGACCTGGATCATAAGAATTGGCCGCATAAGATTCTGACGACCGGTGCGACCCCAAGTAATATTCTTGGTCTGGCGCTTGGGAGGGAATTTGTTCTTCGGGCCGCTGTGGAGAGGAAGGCTGGTGTAGGTCAAGAGGTGAAGAGTGTGGGGGAGCATGGTGTGGCAGCAGTATTGCTTGCTGCGGGCTTGAAGGGAGTGCAGGTTCTAACTACATATCCACATTCGTCGCTGGGGAAAGCGGCGGGAATTTTGGGTATTGGTCGGGTGAATGTCAAGAGTGTCTGTGTTGCTGATCTCAGTGAGGGTGTGAGCCAGCGTCCGCTCATGTTTGATATCGAGGCTTTGGAAAGGGAGCTGGCCAGAGGCGATATGGCAAGCATCGTTGCAGTGTCCTGTGGGGAAGTGAATACAGGACAGTTTGCTACGAAGGGTCTTGAAGAGTTCAAGAAGATACGACAGCTTTGTGACAAGTACGGTGCTTGGCTACATGTGGACGGAGCGTTTGGGATATTTGGTCGTATTCTGAAGGGTGAAAGCGAGTTTGATCATATTTTGGAAGGGTGTCAGGGACTTGAGCTGGCACATTCCATTACGGGAGATGCTCATAAGTTGCTTAATGTCCCTTACGACTGCGGATTTTTCTTCTCTCATCATGGGGGTCTGGCGGGGGATGTCTGTCGTAACCCCAACGCTGCATATCTAAGTAGTGGGAATGGTGACGGCAACACTTCAATCTTAAACCCCATTAATAACGGCATCGAAAACTCCAGGCGTCTCAGAGCACTGCCCGTTTATGCCACATTAGTTGCTTATGGAAGAGATGGATATAGAGATATGTTGAAAAGGCAGATAAGACTGGCCAGGTTGGTTGTTGACTGGTTATTTGAGCACCCTGCGTACACTGTTCTTCCCATTACTCCGGCAAAGGAAGAGCTTTTGCACAATACGTTTATGATTGTTCTATTCAGGGCAAGAGATGAGGGCTTAAACCGGGTACTGGTGAATAAAATCAATGAAACTTCAGAAATGTATGTTTCTGGGACGATTTGGGAGGGAATACCTGCATGTCGAATTGCAATATCAAACTGGAGGGTGAATGAGAAGCGAGACTTTGAGGTAATAACTTCCGTGCTGAATGGAATTATTCGATAGTTCAGAAGAAGCAGAAAGAAGATGCTTGTATGTTTCCTTGGATATATAGAGGATATCACAGCCTCAGATTCACAGCTATCTCCGACGACCTGCTGATGGGGCATCGTTTCTGTCGGCAATACTAACAACCTCACCAATACCAGCCTCTTCTTGCTCATCCTCCAGTGCCGTAATTTCCTCTCTGCAATCCCACCACTTCTCTTCAGCTAGGGTGAACGCTTCTTTTCTCAGCTCTTTAACAGACATCTCTGACCCAGCCTGTTCCACTTTCATCTTTGACATCAACATATCCTGCCAATCTGTCGATGTCCTGGCGAAGAAATCCCTCAGAGACTCGAAAGGTCGGGGATGCGGCCTAGAATCCTGGACAGGAGTTTCTATTTCCTGCTCGATTTCTGTTTCCATCTGCACGAGCTCCGTTACACTTGTTGTCGCAGTCGCAGTCGATGCAATCTCGACGAACTCCATCTCTTCATCTTCATTGTCGCATTCACCCTCCTCTGCTTCCTCATCCTCCTCATCCTCTTCATCACTCTCAACTTCCATCGCGTCATTCCAATGTTCGGGCTCGTTGTAGAACAATTCCTTCACTCCGTCAAGCTTTACTAAATCAATGGAGTACATATCATTAAAAGTAAATTCGTGATCTCCCCGCTCAAAAGTCCCGCTAAAGATAAACAGTGTATCATCTAGAACCGCAAGCTGGGAGTTGAACCGCCGATGCGGCATCTCGAAGCGAACTGGCAAGTCACGCTTCTCATCAATCTCTTCTTCCTCTTTTTGTAGTAAATCGATATCCATCGCCTCGGATTTTATCTTATTTGTGTTAACCTTGGCTTCAAGAAGGGCTAGGTTACGCATTAACTCCTCTTCATCGGCTTTTCCCCGATTCCGTTTCACGGTCTGCATAGCAGACTGCTGCTTCTTTCCAGGCCCTCGAGGGCGGCGAAGAGACATCTGGAAAAACCGGTTTCGATCTATGTTCCATGCGTAGAGATCATCGAAGAATTCACTCTCAATGCCCTCTTCGCTCGTTTCGACATCGTGGACACCACCAAACATAATCCCCCGTCCCTTGTGGAACGCCATGGTTGTACCCGCCCGCGGTGGGTTTGCTGGATTAGCAGGTTTCTTCCGTCGCTCCCACCGGATTGTAGGAAGTGAAGTTGCGGGAGCGTCGGGGGGAGGTGGGGTGATTCGCAAGAACCAGGTATCTTGGTGAACGACTGGCTTGAGAATCGTTCGCTGTGCTCCACCTTTCTGTTGCTTGTTGACTGCAGTGTTCGTCTTTACTCGAGAATATCCTCCGTATAAAACAGCGCCGGATTCGTGTGGAAGAAATGAAAACGACGATCTAGCGTCTGGCTTTTGCGATGCTGGGGGAAGAACCACATTGTGCCATAGATAATTTTGGCAGTCATATATCCACAAGTCCTGAAGGTACTTTGTCTGCTGGGAGGTGTCCTGGAATCCTCCAAAAAGTATTATGTAGTTCTGGGGAAACAGTTAGGATGTAAGAGGTATTGTAGATTCCACAGATACCCAAACAAGGCCGGATCATAGCTTCACAGTAGAAACTGCCACGCTTAAAAGGCACATAATGGATGCATGGGTGGGAGAAATACCTTAAAGTATGTCATTCTATGTCCACTCCTCGCGGGTGGGCCTTTGCCTTTTGTCTCAATTCTACTCCATTCTCTGGTTGACGGATCAAGGCACCAGAAATCATTATAATGATAAAAAGTCCCTTGTTTCGGCGAAGAAAATTCTCCTATATATCTATAATCAGTAACTAACTGTAAAATAGTAATACTTAGAAGCACGCTTTCGAGTTTGCGCATTACCTCCAAACAAATAAATTCCTCCTGAATTTCCTCCCCGGCACCAGGCATGTCCACTCCTAGGAAGAGGGCTATTCGGGCTCGTGACCTCTCGCCACTCATGCTTATCAACTTGATACACGTAAAGATTGTTGTAGAAAGTAGCCAGAGTGCCATCAAAATGTTCACCCCCGAAGAGGAAGAGCTCATTTCGACCTGCCGGAGATGCAATTAGGGAGGAAGAAGACCGCGGGGTTGGTGGCCCACTGGGGACCTCAGTGACCTTCAAGAACTTAGCTTGCTCTTTTGCATATGCCGCCAACACTGCATCCAGATCGACGTCTTCAGCATCACTGTCATCAGCCTGTCCCTTTGCTCTGATTTTCTTCTCTTTCTGAGCCGCTTTCTTAGACTGTTTTGCGGCGACGCGAGCTTTCTGCTCTGCGGTCTTGGATTTTTTATCTTTCTTTGCCATTTTACAGGATGTGGGAGAAGATACTCAAGTTAGAACTCTCTCCCCTCCCATGCGTAATTTGGCTGATACAAGGCCCACACCAAGGATTGTCTGTAGTTACGGAGATATCAGAGGGAAGAGGCTGAAGTTTTCGTCATTGGCTAATCATTCCACAGACCAAAATGCCAACAACTGGGTGACAAATAACTTACTAGAAACTAAATATTAATTAGTTACCTTAGTACTAGGTAAATGAGAGCACCAACAAGCTTCCAATATTAAATTGTGATTCCGTGAAATCACTTTGAAATTGTTAATGGTGATTGTTTCAACTCCCAAGTAGTTAACTATATTTTCTTTGAGGTCCTTCTAAAGCTTTAGCCACCACCAACTGTTAACTAGGTTTTTTTTGGATGTTGATTGACATCACGTGTTTAGACGCGGGTCGTAACTATGTCTTCCACACGAACCCAAGCCTTCTCCGTTCATAAGAACTTCAATATACAAACATGCTCAATGATGACAACAAATTGCACCAACTGCAAGTTTCTGTGATGCCCCTAGCTGCCCTTTGATAAGTGCCAGCCATGAGATGACTCTATGACAAAGCATAATTTAGAAGATCACCTGTCCTGGCTGTTGAATCGTGGGCCTTTCATACCGCCTCTGCTGCCAGCGCAAGCACATACCACCACAGCTGAAGAGAGCACAACGCAGCCAAGGGCTCCTGGCCTTCCAACCCCTTCCGATGAGGCGTATAGCACCAACAACGAGACTATTGTCACTTTAAAGCCTAGCGAACACAAGTTCGGCTCACAGGATGCTAAGGTTCGGGAAGCCGATAACGGGTACGAGTTAATATCGGCTGTGGATATGGCCCGGCTTCAATTTGCTCCCCCGTCGTCTACGAAGCCTCGAATGTTGAGTACCATTAAGCAAAATCCCCCTACTTCACCAGACACATCCTGTGTTATGAAGGGACACTGCGGCTTTCCTGGTCCTGATGAGGCGCATTCTCGACCGAAGAACAACAGTTGGTTATCCCATTGAATTCGCCTTGCCCTCCATATATATTAACCGTATAATTAGCTAGTGTATGGAGCCCCTCAGGAACCACTCCACCACTAATGAGTCCGAAATCATTATCTCGTCAAGAGTCTTATCCTCGGGATTCTAAGGTTTCCGCAAACATTGTCGATGCTATCGATTTAACCGGTGATCAAGGCCACCATACTTCATCGTCGGGAACCGTTGAAGCTTTTGGGGAACCACTACGAATATGGAGGGAAGACTACGCATCCCGTTCCGAGCCATTGGGAAGTCGTGGCGTAAAACGAAAAAGCGACGAATACGAAGCAGACACAAAATTCTCAAGGAAACTATTGTCGCGAAGTTGCTCTCCAATTTCTCCAGTGCAATCAGACAAAAAGAAACGCACCGATTTCACTCTTAATTCAACGCATAGCAAGAACGTTAAAAGGCCTTCGTTACACACGGTTATTGGTGACTCAGAGGGTGAAGACGATGGGATTGATATTTTTCCCACTGATAACGAAGAGGGCTTCCGGTCTCCTAGACGTCTATTGAATGGACTTGACTTATATCCAAAGCTATCTAAGCCGCGAAACGGCCGGCCGGAAAAAGCCAAGCCCAAGAAATTGCCGTCCTTTGATCGAGCAACTTCGATGGAGGCTAGTTGCCGGCCCTCTGTTGCTTCTCCTGTCCAGCAACACACCACTATATCGAATATACAGAAACACAAAGATCGTAGCAATGTCTCCGATAGTTCTAGGTCCTGTGGCTCTCCCAGCCATCAAGGAAGACAAAATCCTACTTTGGCCCATTTCCTCTCTCTTCCCACTCGTTCCGTTGGCAATTTCCTGGAAAGGCTTAAAAGTGACCGTTCAAGAAATGCAGAGTTGGCGTATCAGCGGGCTATGGACGCTATTGATGCTTCTGATTTAATTCGTGAAAATAAGATCTTGAACTCAAAGATTGGAGCCCTTGAGAATCTCCAAATGGAGCACAACACATATTCTTCGTTACTGACTAAACAGGATGAACTTAAAAGGCGAATAATACAGTCTGTGGAACGAGCAGCGATTCTCCCTGGATCGTCTACTGATGTTGACGAAGCTCGAAAACTTATATGGCAGAGGCAGGAACAAGAAGCTAAAATGGTTGACTTGATTGAGCAATCGGGGATCCTTAGCGAAAATTCTACCGCCGTCAACGGTGCTGAGCCACCAGAACATAAAATTTTAATTACGGGAACACAGTTTCCAAAGCAGCGAACCTACGATATTCCAAAGTCTTTTGATTCCTTTTCTTCTTCATCCTGCCTCCCAAATATCTCCCGCCTTCTTCCACCGTCTCTGCCGTCGACGCTCACAGGACCCAAAACTCCCCGAAGGTTTAGTTCTGGAAATATGTCTTTCCGCGATAATAATAATGACGACGAGTTCATGCTGGATAGTGATGATATATTCTCGAGGAATATGGGAACTCCTGTTGCCCTTGATATGCTGGATTTCGACAACGATGCGGATGATTTTGATATGCTTGAGGCAGCGGAACATTTTGAAAATCAATGGTCTGGATCTGCACGCGACCATGCTTTTGGAAGCCAGAACTTTGGTCGTGGGCCAACCTCCTCTGCCAAGAAACCCGCGCCTGAATCATTGCAGTATCCTTGGTCCAAGGATGTCAAGTCCGCATTGTTACATCGTTTCGGACTCTCTGGGTTTCGTCTCAATCAATTGGAAGCCATTAACGCCACGCTAGGCGGGAAAGATGCTTTTGTTTTGATGCCAACAGGGGGAGGGAAGTCTCTCTGTTACCAATTACCTGCTGTAGTCAATAGTGGTACTACAAAAGGGGTTACGGTTGTCATATCACCTCTTTTGAGTTTGATGGAAGACCAGGTTGCACATTTGAAAGAGTTACACATCCAGGCGTTCCTCCTGAACGGAGACGTGAACAAGGAACACAAATCTTTGATATACAGTGCTCTAGCCAACCCTAATGTTGAGAAGCTTATACAATTACTTTATGTCACCCCTGAAATGGTGAATAAAAATGGAGCATTGCTAGGTGCATTGAGTCGCCTTCACAGCAGAAAGAAGTTGGCACGCATTGTCATCGACGAAGCTCATTGTGTAAGTCAATGGGGCCATGATTTCCGACCCGATTACAAAGAATTGGGCAACACCAGAGCAAAGTTCCCAGGAATACCGCTCATGGCACTTACTGCCACTGCCACAGAAAATGTCAAAATTGACGTTATCCACAACCTCGGTATGCGTAACGCGGAAGTATTTGTCCAGTCTTTCAACCGACCCAATCTGACCTACGAAGTCCGACCGAAGCCCAAAAACACAAATGTTATTGAAAGCATTGCTGAAACAATCAACGAATCATACAGTGGTCAAGCCGGAATAATTTACTGCCTATCAAGACGAAGTTGCGAAAAAGTGGCAGCACAGTTGCGTGATAAGTACAAGATAAAGGCTGCCCACTATCATGCTGGTTTGCCCTCGGAAGAACGAATATCGATTCAAAGAGATTGGCAATCTGGAAAATACAATGTTATCGTGGCAACAATTGCCTTTGGAATGGGAATCGACAAGGCAGACGTTCGTTTTGTGATACATCATACCATGCCGAAGAGCCTCGAGGGGTATTATCAGGAAACTGGGCGAGCTGGTCGAGATGGCAAACGGTCAGGTTGCTATCTTTATTACGGATTTCAAGATACGGGACCCCTACGGCATATGATTGACAAGGGCGAGGGGAGTTTCGAGCAGAAAAAGCGCCAACGCCAAATGCTTCGCCACGTTGTCCAGTTCTGTGAAAATGAAAGTGATTGCCGGAGGGTACAGATCCTTGCCTACTTCAATGAAAAGTTTGAGCCAGAGAACTGCAATCGCTCTTGTGATAACTGTAAGTCGGGCTTGACTTTTGAACCAATGGATTTCACGGATCTTGCTGTTTCTGCTGTGAGCCTTGTTGGGCGTCTTGAGAAGCAGAAGGTGACAACACTCTACTGTGTGGATATCTTTAGGGGAGCTACGAAGAAATTCGCAGACTCTGAGCACAAACACTTTCCCGAATTTGGTGTTGGGTCTGAGTTGGATCGCCCTGATGTTCAACGATTATTTTCCTACCTACTTTGCGAAGAGGCCTTGAAGGAAGAGAATGTTATCAACAACGCACATTTTGCTACTCAATACGTGCAGCTTGGCGTTAGAGCATCCGAATTCCTCAATCGTCGTCGTAAGATCATGCTCCCAATTCGCGTTTCTGCACATCGGAAAGCTACCTCCCTAGCTAAACCTGCCGCCACGCGAAATCGTGGAACTCGAGTTCGTGCACTGGGGAACGAGCATCCACAGTCTACTAATGTTTCATCTCCTGTTCAAGCATCATTGCGGCGACGGAATTATGGACGGGGTTTTGTAGGCCAGAACATACCTGAAGATGACGACGAGGATGATAGCGATGGCTTCGAACCAATACGTAAGGCTGGTCAACATAGCCGGTCGGATGCCAATGATTTGGGACCTCCAATCACCGATGACGGAAAATTTTCTCGGCTGGATCACCTCCAGAGCATTATGGTGGAGGAGTTTATGTTTTATGCCAAAAATACATGCCATGATGTATGTTACACTTTATACTTGGGGGGCTTTAACTTCCTGCTAACCTTATAACAGATCATGTTGAAAAGATCCCTTCGAAGTCAACCATTTCCTGATGCTATTCTGCGAGAAATGGCAATCAACTTGCCGAAAGGTAAAATACCAATGAAAGTGTGACAGGCCTTACTTGCTAATATATAGCCAGATAAAAAACAACTTTTGAAAATACCCAATATTGATCCAGACAGGGTCGAGCGTTATGGGACTCAGTTTCTTCACCTTATTCGACGAGCAGAGGATCGCTATCAGGAACTCGTGGCAGAGAGAGATAGGGATGGATCTCCGATTCCAGACCCGAATCATGAAAACGTCATCAACATCAGCAGTGATTCCGAACTGGGCTTTGGTGACGACTTTGACGATTTTATTGACGACACGCAAGCTACAGGTGTCCCCCTAGACGAGCAAAGCTCTTTCTTTGAACAAGATGACGAGATCGCTGCATTTAATGCTCGCAGTGAGTCAACGCCTGCTGATACCAGTTCCCTACTTACGTTGTCACTAATCGATACATTCGACAGTGTATGAACTCCAAACAACGCGAGCTTCTGGCCCTGTCACCGGCACACCCAAGACGCAGCCTCCAGGTCCATCAAATCACGGTGCTGGTTCGTATAGATACGGTAAGAATTCATATGCCAAGAAGAATTCAAGAACTCGACCAAATGGAGGTGGTAGTGGTGGAGCTGTATCAAGCAGAAAACCAGGAAACCCTCGAACAAAAAAGAGGACCCAAGGGTCAACTTCACGCCAGTCTAAACGCGGCGTATCTGGCTCAGGATCTCGCGGTGTTGGCATTAGTATGATGCCGACGTAGCATGGATTAATCTTGTTATTTTAAATATTAAACACACTCCTTTCTGAGCTGTGCGGCTCATACATCAATGATCCGTTTTTCTTACTTTCCTTTGGTCCTTTACCACCGATATTGTTTAGAACTCCACTACATTTCAGTTAACAGTGAAGAAAGAATACCAATGACTACTCCCCAGCTTTTGGCATGTTTCAGCTCCACATTACCTATCAAATTATTCACCTTCTCCTTCCACCCAATATATATCTTATATTCCTGAACCAAAACAGCGCATCATCCTGGAGCATGGTATATGACTTTTCAATGGTTATGGCAAGTTCGTTATTTCGTTTGAAAGGCAGAGTTTATCCCCTATAATACCCCAACACGTTCATGTATTGTACATATTTACTACAATGGGAATCTCAACAACAATGTTTAATAAAGGCATGCTGTAAATTAGTTCTACTGTATGGTATTCGTCAATTTGCAAGCTGTCCCAGCTTCAGAACTTTGGATGTTCGGCAGCTGCGGTATCAACCATAGTTATTTAGTTTTCTTTGATGTAGAGAGAAGAGTGAAAAAAACAAGAATAAAGGAGAACACGCATTCTTTGCACATACGGAATAGCAATTCATTGAGCAATTCATCGAGAACAAACCGGTGCCTACAATAAATCACTTCCCCAAATATTATCTCTCATCGAAAGAATAGAAATACAGCTTGAAATTGATTCCCGCAAACCACAAGGTCATCTTAACGAGAGATAAAAGATGGTAAAGTGGTAAGTAGACCTCCAAGAAAATTGCTTTAAAATACCTAGAGATATAAAGCTCCACATCAGTCTTCCATCTCCTAAAGTTTTAAGCAGGATAAATAGTATGGGGAAAAAATTATTACAAAATTGAAAAGAGACTAAGAAAATACTCACAGCTCCACCTATGATAAACAACCTCTCCCTTTCCTGTTGCGCCCACTGGGCGATTTTGCCCGCGCTCTGAGAAAGAGCTTTGCGATTGCTATTTGGCCCAGCAACACAGTACAATTCAAAAACAGGCGTGATCCATGCAAGTGCGTTCATGGAGTTTGATACTCTATGCTCGACTCTGATGTGTGCGTGTTTTGCATGCACACTGGCGTGGAGGGAGTGGTAAGTTGAGAGGAGTCTAGAAAGAAAAAAAATATGGTTTCTCGTTTGTGGTTAGTTATTCTAATCATTTTCGTTAAATTGATTCCAAATTTTATCTGGGGAAATGACATGTATGGGTCAAAAAGAAAGAAGAAGAAGAAGAGGGAGAGAGAGCCTGTTGGCATGATCTCACCTGCGTCTCCCCAGAGTTGTCGAGAAATCGGGACAATATGAAGCCATGGCAAATTGGACGTTAGCTTTGGACTTGTAGAGGAAATGCCGTAGGACTGTGCCAGGGATGATATCTGTAGTGGTAGGTCGTCCTTTTTGTATTGCTGCCTTTATTATAGCTATGCTGCCATTCTTCCCCAATTGCTATTTACAACGTTAGTTCTAAGGCAAAAATTGAACTTGCAGGTTGGTTTGATTCGGCAGGGAGTTGTAAGAGAATGAACGGTACCTCAACTGCTAAATCCCGCATCTCTCTAAGAGCATAAAAGCTTTCTTTGTCGGCGCTGATTAAGATAATAGCGACAGAGTCGTCCTTGATGGTGTCTTGGTTCGCGGTATGGATTTCCTCATCGCGAAGATCCAGGAAACTGACGAACATATGCAAATATCCGCTGCTGTTGAAACCAGGCAGACAAACAGGAATCCAACTGTCACCGCCTCCAGCCTTAACACCATCTGCCTCGAAAATCATGTTGAAGATCAACTGTAGATCACCTGGATGCAACGAGTGTCTCTTCGGCCTAATTACACTCACAAGCTGGCCACCAGCGACAACAAGCCCGTATAAAAGGCTATCAACCCTGGCTTTCAGAAGAGTGTTGTTTATGGTTTGTCGATGAGACTTTCGAATTTTGAGGCATTCCAAAGCATTGAGCAGGGTTGATGGAGAGCCCTTTGTGAAGCTATCAGCCAGAGAAGAGAGAAGAGATTCAGTTCCTTCCAATGGGCGCCGTAAATCCGTTGATGGTCGAATTGAAAACAAATGATTTAGACTTGGGAGGGTCAATGTTGACAGGATTTGCATGTACAATGCTTCCAACTGCATCCGTAGCTGAGAATCGTTTTCGAAGAGGCGACTGATGGCAACAAGATACAATGGACCCTGAGATAAAATAACAATTTTCGCTTTTCCAGCCGAAAAACTCTTCAGGAAATCTCCAGATTCTTCAAAAAAGGATATGATAGTTTGGATAATGCCGAAATAATCAGAGATCAGACCGCTGTCTCCATGTCTTGTGTATATTGGTTTCCCTGCTTGTGACAATATGAAGAAGTGCTTCTTTTTCCTCTTCCATGCTTCAACAACCTGAGCTATAATAAATATCAGCGGGTGTTTTCAGCTTGAAAGGAAAAGTTGTATTCTTATATATTACCTGAATTACCACCGTCAGGCTCGACTTGATCAATGGCATCAAACTCATGTTCGAACTCGGAATCCACTTCATCATCGTCAGAGTCTAATAAAGCTCGTTTTACCGCACGCTCGCCACTATGAACCCAAGATATCTCATCCCCTCCCACTATGGGAAAGTCGCCAAAAAGACTAATATCGTCAGGTGTCTCCCCACCCGGGACAAAGCTACGTACGCTTATGGAATCACCGGCATCACTTCCCCTGCGGCTTCTCAGTTGACTAACACTTGTCCTATGCCCTATAGCCTTTCCAGGAATAGTTTTCACAGCAGTAGACGAGTATAAATCCTTAGATCCATCGGGCAAAGTGTGAGTGTTTACATCTGTTAACGACAAGGCAGTCGTAGGCTTTGACTGTAAACTATGCCTCGATGTTGGCTTAATTTTGGAGGTAGCGTCTGTTGCACCCTCTTGTTCATCAAGACCTGGTCGAGGGGGAAGAACTGGAGGGACCCCTGGGCTTTCCCCTTCACTTCTAAATGAAGCAGTTTCGGAGGCTTTCCCTGTCGGATCCGGGATGCTTTTAGATGGACCTTCTGCGTCGCTACTTGGCGACTGGCCATATTTCCTGTTTGCATCCATTTGCGACCGTTCATTTCATAATTATAGATCTTGGGCTAGTTATCTGTTGACCATTTCGAGGGCTAGACAACGACCGAAATGAGAGCGTCTAATAATAACCTAGTAGCGTATGGTCGCAAAGTCAAGGTCATTACAATAAATATGCGCATTCATGAATTAAATATTTTAAGCCTTTGGGTTTAGCACGGAGTATAAAAGCCGTGTATTGTTGTAACTGGAGGTGATATCTGGAAGTTGAGGCGCAAAAATATCAGGTGGTTGAAACTTTTAGTGATGTCAATGAATGCGGCTCCGCCAACCTTAATTTAACCTCCAAGGGGTAACTAGTTAACGACCCCGGGCTGGTTAAGGTGGAAACTTAAGCCGCAGCCAAAACCTACACCATCTCCCGTAGGCTGTTCTTCACGCTGGATCATAATATCGGATACTTGGGTTCCACCTCAAGCTTCCTCCCCATTCCTTCCACATTCCAGCTTGCGATCGCTTCTCCTTGAAAAGGATGTCGATCAAACTGCTCTCTAATACATTGTTTCGACTTTGGCACAATGAGCCTTGATCCGGGCGATATATCACGAGCTTCATCTCCCGCGAGCTCCGAAGCTTCTCAACCGAAACCTCGAGATCAAGCAGGCGACGGTAGGTCGTTCCACCTCAAATATGGAAGATATTTACTGATATTTTGCCGGTTATAGATGTGTTCAGAAAAGATAAGAACTACCGCCGTTATGCTGCCAGCGTTGAGCGAGCATTATCGTTGTTCGATACAGCCCTGCAGGAGTGGGCAGACTACATCTCGTTCCTGAGTAGACTGCTGAAGGTATATGCGCCCATTTTTTGTAATAATGGTTTAGATTGCTGAAAAAAAATTATCTGGCATAGGCTCTGCAATCCCATCCGCCATCTCTACCCATCGTCCCAAGTAAAACCATCGTGGCGCGGAGATTGGCGCAATGCCTGAACCCGTCACTTCCGTCTGGAGTTCACCAGAAGGCCCTTGAGATCTACGGCTACATATTTTCCATTCTCAAGGTAGGCCTGCTTGTACTCTGATGCTTGCACTTGAAGTTCTTTAGCGTGTATATTTAATGAACCATTTTAGCAAGATCGCCTATCTCGAGATTTAGCGCTGTATCTACCCGGAATCGCCCCCACCCTATCTTTTGCTTCATTGACCGTTCGCCCGCTTTTCCTCTCCTTGGTTGAGACATATATCGTCGACTTGGACCCTGCAGCTCTTCGGCCAGCGTTAAAATCTATAATATTGGCTTTACTTCCGGGGCTTGAGGAGGAAACCGGCGAGGATTTCGAAACCGCTCTACGGATCGTGAACAAGTTTCGAATTATCAACCTGAAAGAGAAGGAGGTATTGCCAAACTCGGACATTGATGATGGCAGTCAATACTTCTGGCAATGCCTCTTTCTCGCCTCAATAACAAATCCAAGTAGGAGGCCTGGCGTGCTCGCGTATTTAAATCGATATCTTCCCAAACTCGGTGGATCAAGTCCGTCGCTGATAGACTCCCAAGATGGTGGGAATGACGAGACATCGAATCTGCCGTCTGTCACAGATTCAATTATTATGCCAGAACCCGGACTTTTAATTCGATGTTTTGCTACGGGTCTTACTGACGAGCAACACCTGGTGCAGAGAAACTTCTTGGATCTGCTCGTTACACATTTGCCTCTTCATTCCCCCGTTCTGCAAAAGAGGATTACCCCAGACGACCTGGGGATCTTACTTACGGCAGCTGCCGGTGTCGTCACTAGAAGAGACATGAGTTTGAACCGCCGTCTCTGGTCATGGTTTTTGGGGCCGGAAACCTCTAATGCTACTCATGAACATGGTAAAGCTGACCAATCATTTACTTCCCAGCATGCCGCAAACTTGGCTTTTAATAATGAAAACGCAAAATCCCAATATTTCAGTCGTTTCGGATTAAAACCTCTAGTTCAGAGCATCAAAGCCATGATCAGTCGCAACTCTGTGTACCCTCCTGAACGAGTGAAGCCGTTGAGGATATCTCTGTCTCTGATGGATCGATGGGAAGTAGGGGGGCTTGTCATCCCAGCAATATTCCTCCCGGTCATGCATAGTGTTCAACAATACAAACAACTGGCTATCTCGAATGCAAATTTTGAGGAGGTGTTCCGAAGTGCCAGCGCTTTTTTTGACGGAGTTGAAAGTACCTTGATATTCTCTGAGCTCCTTTCTCTTGTTCACGTTGATCCATCGACCATCAAAACTCGTTCCAACCGTGCCATAGAAGATCTTAAACTTGCGAACTTTATTGTCTCTCACTTCAATATGGGAGAGGAAGAGATGCGTGTTGTCCACGTGCCTCTGTTGTTCATGACACTCCTTATCAAGATAGGAGCTATTTCGTCAAGTACCGATGACATTGGGCTCGACCATCAAAATATTCAATCCGCCGCGCTTAGCGAAACGTCCATGATTATCAAGCATCTTCTCGACCTAATTCCGGACAGCGTCTTTCTCCATGGAAATACATCTGAACAAATTCGGGTTGACCACTCTTCAAAGACTTTCCATGATATTTCCTGCGAAGCAATCGTCCGCAAAATAAGTGAATTTTACAAGAGATGTAAGGAAAGTCTCGAGCTACCTCCTCCACCATTTACTCCCAGTGAGCTAGGTGAGCTGCTCCTCCGGGAAGCCCAATATCTGGTACTATCCGCACTAGAATCCGAAGACCAGTCCTACCTGAAAGAACGAACGAACTTATTTATCTCCCTGCTTAACAAAACTCCTAAATCTCAAGTCGTCGAAGCCGGTGATATATTCAAGGCCATATATCACAAGCTGACTGCAAAGTCATTAGTGGATTTACCGTTCGTAACGATTTCGTCGATATGTTCTGTTGTGACAACCTTGTACTCCATCCACACCCCTGGGCTCTATGTTTCTTACCATCAGATTTCAGATATTATCCCGTCCTTAGTGCAGAAGCTTTGGGGCTTCCTCTCACCATTAAGCCCAAAGTTCCACGTAGAAACAGTCCGATGCTTGTGGCTTTTACATCTAGTGACTTGGCAAGATCATTTGGTGGAAGCTTCGATTACATCGCTCATGATCAGTCCTAACAAGCCTAATTCCTCCCACATCACAACTGTAGAAGAGGTTGAAAAGTTTTTCGTCTTGTGGAACCATAGCCAGCAGATCAACGTCGATCCTTCAACTGCTCGCATCATTAATTATGACCCACTGAATAAAAGGGGTTTAAGAGACCCCAGATCTCTATATCAATCCTCAATGCTCGATCGCCCGTTATTTATAGTCTTAGATTTGTTATCTGGAATTGCGACCGAAGCCTCATTAGTGGTCAAGGAATGGATTTCCGAGCTATCATCTGTTCCCAGGTATGTACATGTGCATGATCGAAGAACTAATTTTATTTCTGCCTTTTCGCTAACGTTTGTCATCTTTAGGATATTTCGCATAACAATTTCTAAACTCACTGAACTTCCATATCTCGTGGGATCAGGTCATGAACTTTCCTCCGAAGATGATCAGCTAACGGACTCTCTGGAGGCCAATCAGTGTCGCTATCTCTTCGAGACTCTCTCCAGTGTGATCTCCTCATTGAGTCCGTCGGGTTGGTCAACATTAATAACAAACACTGTGTCGGAATCGAGTAAACGTCGTGAGAGCGATGGAGCTGATGGTGAGTCTGGTCAGATAAAATACGAGAACCAGATAGGAACAGTGTTCAATCTAGGTGCTATGGAGAATTTGAGTATCCAAGCCGCTTTAATACACCTGTCAATTCGAGCTCTCTCTCCACAAATAACCGCCTCCAGGGAGCTACACTCTGAAGAGGAACGAATGCAGCTGGCAATTTTTAGTGTTATTCGCCAGCTTCTAATGGGACCTGGTGCTGAGAAACTTGTTAAAATTGACCTGGATGGTTTCCTAATCGATCAGTTATTCTCTGCCCTGGATAAAAATAGAGGTACCCTCCAGCCTGTCATGATTGACACCTTGCTGGCTGCTTTGAAAAATCGTTATGTTCATGAAGCTATGGAACTTTCAGCTGTGCCATCCAAGAACGCAAGGAAGTCCTCTCTCGATGCTCTTTCAAATATCTCTGGCATCTCTCTTACCGGCGAAAAATCTGAAAAAGAAACTCCAAGAACTGTCGCTCCAGTGCCTCCGCCACAGTTACTCCAATGTTTGCTCAAAGGCCTCAGTTCTACCTCCTCCCACAACGTCGTTCAAAAATGGGTTAAATTACTTGTGGAGTGTCTGGCGCTGTACTCCGGGACCATCTTCCAAGTTCTGCTCACTCTAGTGGAGTGTTTATGCAAACAGATTACTGCTTCCTATAATGAGCTCCAGCTTGTGTTTAAGAGAACAAATAGCTCTGTTCGGGAGCGTTCGGAACACATCGCTATTGTATTGTTTAATGGTTTGGAAAGTTGTATCGCTGCTGCACATGAACGTCTCATACTCGAGGAGGAGAATGTTTCTGCTGCAAAAAGTCCAGATCAACCCCAAGGGTTTTTCGGAAACATGGTATCTGGAGTGTTCACTTCGGAGGGGAATCAAGTACGGAGTGCTGCTGCTAATGACAGACTCACCGTTCTCCTTTGCTTTCAAGACACAGTGCGCCTCTGTTTCTCGATTTGGTCCTGGGGCAATATTCGACGACATAGTAGCTCTCAGGACCCGGAATCCCTCTCATCATTTCAGTACACCTCCTTGAGAATGAGAAATCGGTCACGACGTATATTAGAGCACTTATTCAATGCCGAGGCACTGGATTGCCTGGAGACCTTAGTCCAGCTATGGCACAATGCCATTTCGGCAGATGACACAGCAGAAGCCCAATCAGTTTTTAACCTCCTTCATACACTAGACGGATCACGGCCGAAAATAACGATTCCCGCTATATTCAATTCCATATACAGTCGAACCAATCCCACCGCACTAGACCCCAGTCGGATATCGGTTATGACGTCCAGACTCTCCGAAGCAGACCTGGTTGCATTTCTTGTCACATACGCCCGGTCGTTAGATGACGATGCGTTGGCCGAGATATGGAGTGACTGCATCGCTTTTCTTCGGGATGTATTGACAAACCCTTTCCCGCACAGACGCATCCTACCACGACTGTTGGAATTTACTGCAATCTTGGGCGAAAAGATGGAACGGACTAATTTTGGCGACGACCGGCGATCGAGGAAGGAACTCGGGGTAAGATTTTATGCAACCATAGGTTTTGAAAACAAATTTGAAACTAATAACAACCTTGTAGGATTTGTTGTTACGCCTTCTTACTGCGATCTTCACTAGTAAACCGTTAGGTTCATCACAAGAACCCGCCTCGTCGACACGGCAGTTGGCAGATACCGAACGTTCATCAGGATCTTCTTCAAAATCCCAACAAGTCGTTGGGCCTGATAATATCATTAGCATTCTCGCATCTGTCATGCCTGCGTTGGTTACTACTCTTGGAGAAACGGATAGGATCTTCACTGCAATGTCAAATATATCGACGAATATAATAGCCCCGTTATTCCACTCAAGGCTCTTCCCGCAAAATGTGAACAAGAGTGTGCTTGAGCTCCTCCAGCAGATGTCGAAGGTTTCAGCATCCTCAAAATCCTGGAGAAAAGATGTGGGTGATGCTTTCAATGACGCCAAATTCTTCACCACAAAGCTCAACCTTGTACAAACGAGCTGGCTTGATATACTTCGCCATTGGGCCCTGACGGATAAAGATCGATTGCCAGATCTGCTCTCACGTCTCACACCCCCCACATCTGCGGGAATAATGTTTGGTGTCGGCGCCACTGCTGCCAGGCTTGAAGCTGATCGCAAAACCCAGCTGAATTTACGAAGGATTACTCTCTTGGTATTGGCTGCCAACGAAGACCATTTCAGTGCAGAGCTTGCAAACGTCCACCAGAAGCTCGAAGATCTCTTAACTGCCACTCACATCTCGTCCCCTTCGTCTGTGACGCGGGCGGAAATATACATGGTGCTCCGGGCCGTGGTGCTCAAAACATCTTCCATCCACCTTGCGCCATTCTGGCCTATGATTAACAGCGAACTCTATGATGCTCTGTCAGCTATTGTGCCAGGTCAACAGTCGGAGACGTATAACCCTTACTCACTTTTGCAGGCATGCAAACTCCTAGAATCTCTTCTCCTCATTGCCCCGGATGACTTCCAACTGCATGAATGGTTGTTTGTCACCGACACGATCGATGCAATCCACCCACCAAACCATCGGGAATCTGTCGCACTCGCGGATAATGTTGCGCAGAGCATGGGTGCTTCCACAAATACAGACGATGTTGAACTCACTATGAAAAATGGAAACTGGAATAGGAATGGTGATGATGACAATGAAGGCCGTGACAGATATAAAAAGGCATGGCTTAATTCAGAGCTCAGCCGGGAGACTGCGAAGGATGAGATCATTGATAAGGTGCTGAGGCCGTTCTTTGACAGGTTGAGTATACATGCTTTTGAGAGCACGTATAGGATGGGAATCCCTGATTTGGCGGGTTGCAAAGACGATCTGCTGGCGGATCTGTTCAATGAGTTTACAGTGGCTAGTTAGCGGCGTGTGCTGCGATTACATGCGTATTGTTTTGTGTCCATATGGTTTTGCTTGCTGCTTTAATCTAGCCATGGTATTGCGATTGATATTAATATCGTTAGTATCGTTACATGTATTACATATATTAAGATCTTATGGTTTCTTTCTATTATTCAGAATCTCCGACACCCTGGGTCCTATATGTGTGTAATGTCTGGATCGAGGATATGGCTCCATGGGATTACTCCTCAAGTGGCGCGTGAAGCTTTGAACATTCCATGTATCGGTACCTCCCCGCGCCCCACTCATATCATATTATTAACCTCTCTTGCGTCCGCAGCAATACCATATTCCTGTTCAGGGTCAATTGACCAGTAAGCATGCAGGAAACAGGGATTAGATTTAACAAACAATTTTATGAAACAAGAAAAAATAGAAATAGTTATTCTAAGGCGCTCCAAATACTCTTCAATCGCCTTCTTCCCTTCACTTTCACCTGACATTTGATTTTAATATTCAGAGATATTCGATAACTAATTTTTGGCCAAAATATCGGCTTCAATTCCTTCATTATATAACTAGTTATCTGCGTCCTTCATAGTCGTCTGAGAGTTTCTCCCTCATCAGCCTGTGCCAAGCTTCCAGGTGCATCTCAAACGAACCGTGGTTAAAAAAGTCGACAACTTCATTCCAACCTCAATCTCACACATATCGACGACACACCGCACCTTTCAACAGCAACAAATCTCATCGGATTCGTATACCGTGCTTAGCCTTATCCCGCCTAGATTGTGTATGTTTCAAAAATCCGGATACATTCATTAATTCCTCACTCACGCCGAGGGCATATCTCCAACACCCACAATGTCTCCTATGCTGCGGCGATCGCTCTTCGCACCCGCCATGCGCCTGTCGACACGCAGGCACCTTTCAACAACTAGCCGGCTACTTAACAGCAGCAGTGGCAGTGTAGATGCGGGAGCATTGCCTGTGCAGAAGCCCGTGGGAGCTTTCAGAGGAGGGTGAGTTTCCTACACCCCTCCACACCAAGCTTACGAGAAACAAACCCAACTGCATTAGAGTGAATCAAGCTAACTTGCGATATTGGACGGAATTAACAGGCTATTTGGCTTCCTCCTTGGCACTACGGTGGCGGGCGCATCGGTATACTACTATATCTTGGATGAGTATAGAGTGTCCAACGAGATGTTGACAGAAGACATCTACGTACGTCACTGTATTTGAAAAAAAAAATCCACACATTTCGGCAAGATACCAGAAGCAAGAAAGAAAAAGGAAAAAAAAATAGACAGTCTTAGATCTTGGATTTTCCTTCTTCCCCTCTCTTTAATTCCATCACATTCCCCTTTGTCGACTACCCATTTTTTTTCGGATAGACCAAAATACAAGAAAAGATTAGGCGGAAGAAAGAAAATATCTCTATTCATGATTTCGGTTCGGGAGTGTTTTTACATGTTGTTTTAGATTAGGCAATGTTGCTCCATCTTTACTATTCTTTATTACCTTAACCCCCTTGGAACTAATATGGCACTTAATACCTCGCAATTTTGTTTTCCTGCGCAACTTCCACTCATGATCATCAAGGCGAGTCTTTGAAGGCTGACGATTTTCCCTCATGACCCTGCGTGTTTTCCCAAGGGGATTGTGCTCTAGGCCTTGCAAGCAGCGACGCAACGCCTCAATGCCTACGTGACCGACCTAGAAGGAAAGCTGGACCTATTGCAGAAGAAGAAATGATTTGAGTGATGAGAATTATTCAGGCGATTTCTTTTGTCTTAACCTCCCTGATTTTTGTAGTTTTCATGGCATGAAAGTATGATGTGTTCCGGAACCCCGTCGCCTTCAACTTATCTCGTTGTCCATTTTATGGTTCTCGTCCTCGATCCTCGGATCAATTTCCGATGCTATAAATCTGCACATCCTCATTTCGATGGAATTCAAAAACAGTATGATTGTTTGTATTCAAATCTTTGTTCTGCGGACTGGTTGAATTCATATGGCTTCATCATTTGCAATTGGCATCTCGCGGCAACATGCGGTTTCGGCTGTGTTTCCCAACCAATTCAACTCAATACCCTTTCCGTCCCTTAAAGAGAATTCAGGACGCAGTAAAATTCCTTCAGTCCGCCAGAGTTAGCACACATTGCAAGCCCTTCCATTGCTGAACTTTTGCCTCTGATGGCGGGTTGCAGAGTAGAAACATAGTTTTCTAACTTAATTCCCTAAATAAGAGAAAAGACACAGGTTTCAATTTAATATTACCATTTTCTATAGTTAATTGTTCTGTGATTGGAAAAAGTCGTTGATGAATTTGCTTCGTTGAGATTGGTGCAAACAAAACAAACATGATCATCACACACTTGATATCGAGTTAACTTGATCAAATAACTAAATCAATATCAACCTCAACGATACAGCTTCGGGTGCACGCTCATCTCACAGCAATCAATATAATCACTCTCGGACGGCAAATGCGCAATCTATCAGAAGATACCAGAGCCCAAGAGATATTCTTCTTCAACCTTCAATGTCGCTAAATAAAATAGAAGTCCTACCAACATCCTCGTCTCACATCACCCCAGGATGGGCATACGTTCCCGATACTCGATATGGCGCCTCCACCAGCACTGGAAGGGCTGCTGGCGGTCGCACGCGAGCTGTGCGCGAGCTAGGGGGCGCTGGACGTGCGGATGTGTCGTCGAGGCAAAATACTGCTACACTACGACATCTCACGGAGCTAGATCGAGAGAATCATAAAGATACGCATATTCCTATTCCAACGAAGCAAAAGGCTGCGACGGCGAAAGGTTAGATCATACCTATTGACTTGCCATGTTTAGTAAAGCTCTATTTGTATTTTATATGTTACTGCGCACAAATGAAAAGAAGGTGGGAAGATAGTAGCTAACTGTGTAAATATCAATCACAGACAAACCCAGGGGCAAAACAACCTCCAACGTCCGTCGCATCCTAATGTCCCAAAAAACTTTTAAAAACTACCTAGATGACGAGGAGGCAGCTCTTGCCCAAGGCCATTCTCAAGCCTTAGCAACAATCACATCATCCATCGCTGCTACATCCACCACAGCTACTCCTGGACGTTCTGCCCTTAAATCAAGCAAATCTAACACTCCACACACTTCATCTCGTCCCGCCACACCCAAAAAGTCAACTCCAGCTACTGCAAACCAATCTCCGGAACCACTCAATGCAGCCTCTTCTCAAGTTTCCACGTCCACTTCACACCAACAGCAACGGAACCAACAACTAATCGTCTCCAACTACGACAACGACCCCCTTCTCCGCTCCTACATTCCCTCCGCACCGTCAGAGAAACTTATGCAACAGCTTCTCGCCGAGCCACCTCTGTCATACAATGCATCTCGCGCAACCCATGCTACAACAACGCTGCCTGGACGAACAGCGGGTCCCACGAAACCTCCACGTCACTTTTGTAGCATATGTGGATACTGGGGAAGAGTGAAGTGCATCAAGTGTCGAACGAGGGTATGTGGGTTGGAATGCTATCGGATTCATGAGGAGACTAGGTGTGATCGGTTTTATGCGTGAGGATATTGGCATTATCGTGATGAGAGATCTTAATTGAGAGATTACCCCTGTCGTGCGTAGCCTACGCATGCCACTTCGTGATATCCCCAGACTGGATCCTAGAAGTTATCGTCATGTGAGTTTACGAGATACTAATTGGAGCCATCCTTCGAGGAAACGGAACTAATATGTTCTTGGTAATAAGGGTCAATATGGGAATGAAGAATGCGGAAATCACCTGCATTTCCCATCATAAACACTTCTCCATCTACATCTACTCTACTCAAATCGTGACATTTCGGATTCATCCTGCGGTTAGCCTTTCCACGTCAGTAGAAAAAAAATATAATTCTACACCGAGAAAGCCCCGATTGAGTGGAACATATTCGGCGGGCAGAGATAGTCACCACGCATCATCGGTATGCGGAAACGGAGAAGTTGGGGTTTGATTGAAATAAAAAAATAAAATAAAAATGGAGAAGAATTCATCAGCCGGAATCCACGGATTTTTATAGCAGGAGAGGGGCATTTTCTCAGTGTCTACGCAGGACACACGGGCGCCATGGAATAAAGGGAGCTAATATGAAGCCAAATAGAGCCTATGGTTGCTGGATAGAGGACGGGGAGTGTAGAAGTGAGATAATAGGGAAAAGCTGTACGTCAAAAGCGTATTAACCAAATTAAAAATTAAAAAATAAAAAATAAAATAAAAAAAGGCATTAAATGTTCATCCATGGCTGATAATGGATAGTATTCGTCCTGTGCAACCGGCTGTGACAAAGAATACGTGAGCTTGGAATCTTCCACCTGGGCAAAATTCCAAGTTACTGGCTTGTCAGGGAAAAAGCGCTGGCATATTGCGTTATATGTACATCTAATAAAACACTAACAAAGGTATGGATATTAATCTATTGGGCCCATATTTAAGAGCATAACCTGATGCACCCAGTCTTCACCACAGATATCGCGGGCCTTTTCCCATTAAACTTAACACTTCATATTAATCCCAGCCCTCAATTCCCCTTCCCTTATCTCAAACATAACCTGAACGCCCACAAACAGCGTCGCACATGCCGTGACAAGATACACCAGCCCCGCCGCGCTGCTCACAATCCCACTAACTAGTCCCTTTAACCCGTCAAGCCCAACCGCAAACCCAACAAGATTCGCCGCCATCATCATCAATATATTGAACACTGTGCCTATGCCACACAGCACACGGTAAGCTGTTGGACTATCACGCCACCTATGCGCGGGGAATAGTGCGGTGGCAATGATTTCTGGCAGGACGAAAAGCGTTATGAGCCACCCCCACATGAGCAGGCGGAGATTAATGTCATGCCACAGCGCAACAAAGGTGAAGACGGTGAGAAAGTTGAGGAGGCCACGGGTCTTGGCGAGGATGGGGGAGGATCCGTCGCTGCTATTGTTGTTGGACTGATTGTGGCTGCGGTTACTACCGCCGCCACCCAAGGGGACGTAGAGATATCTGACGATCCACCTGTTGAAGGAGCGGTGCCAGCCGCGCCAGAAGGCAAGGGCGGAGTAATTGTTGGACATACAGCGGACCATGTTTTCGGGCGGATCTATGCCGTCGATCAAGGCCCAGAGGCGCGCGAAACGCCAGGGTAGAAGTAATTTAAGCCAGATGTGGTGTAGGTTGAAATAGCCCAGCATGCTAAGTTGAAATGGGGTGTAGACGGACCAGTTGGGGGAGGATTGTGAGATGGCGACGACATATATGTAATGTAGGAATAGTTCCATGCTGAAAAGGGCGAAGAGGAAGCGGATTCCGTAGAGGATAGTGCGGGTTGTAGATATGGAAGGAGAAGGGTGGCGTTGTTGGGAGATATAGTCGTTGAAGGTAATGATGGGGCCCGTGAGATAGAGCGGGGAATAGAGAACGTAGCCAACGTAGTTTGTCGGGTTGAAGGCAGATTGATGGGCTGGGATAGTGACGCGATCTCGCTCGGACAGGGCGGAGGGGTCGAGTTGCTTCTTCTTTGGTGTGTTAGCGATAATAAAATGCTAATATGATTGATAATCTAGCATACCTCAATAGGGCTATCTGACCGATAGTTGAGGCTCCAATAGTAATCGAGATTAAAACTTATTAATCGCAGAACCGTGAGATTAAAAAGAATATCCCATCTAGGGATTAATCCGCCCCAACTGTCAAGCCATTTTCCAACAGCCACAAGTGGATGGCCTTCACCTACCTGTGATACAGAAGATGACCACGTAAGTATTCTCGCGATGTCTGCATATTGGTACCCATTTGACAATTCATTTGCAAATAATATGCCAATGTTAAAAACCCATGTTGCCACTGGTATTTTATTCCGTGGAAGTTTTGTTGCAATATGATAATTGATGACAAGAATTGCAAGAATCTTGGGAGCTGAGAAGCCATGCAGGGCAACGATAGCTACCAGCGCAAAATAATAATCGTAAGTGACTCTGCGTTTTAGCCTCAAATCAGCGGATACAGCGTCAAATCTGGAGATCTCATCATCTTTTAATTTGCCAGATGGAGGCGAATTGGAATTTAAAGGAAAGAAGATGTCAATAGCTCGTCGAAGCAAAGGATGGATGACCAAGAGTAAGGCAAGATAAGGAATGTTATCTCGAAAAGTGGAATATTGTGAATCAGAATTATCCTGTGCTAAATCATCAGCAAGCTTCAGGACCGATACAACCCTCCAACCGCCATCAATGGAGGGTAGAAAAAACAAACTCACCACTTTCCTTCCCATTATCCACCCATCCTCCAAAAGGTGTGAATATTTCGAATACATTGGATGAGACTCTAACAGAACGAAAAGAATAATAAGTCAGCCCATAATCCAATAAGTCCATCTAAGATATTCCACTCAAAAACAGCTCTTCCCGAGGAACGGAAATCCAAAACTAACCCTTCGAAACATCGTAGACAGTCTTAAACATCATTGGTACCGCAAGCAGAAACGCGATATAGTAAACGTAAAATTCGACTGTGTTCCATCGTGGCGGGGACGCAGTCAATGAGGGACCAGAGCTAGGACTCCCGCAGTCCTCCCCTGACTGCGCTTGTGTTCGTGTCTGCATCCCATTCTCACTCCCACTCGCAAGCCATCTCGAGACCGTCGGTTCTAACCCCCCATTGCTTGTAGATGATATTCGAGATTCAGTGCTGTAGGCAGACTTAAGCGGCGTATTGGCTGAGACCGTGAAGCGCGAGTCAAGAGTGTCGAGGGAGTAGAGTTTGCGGAGCCAGTAGAGAAGGCCCATATTTCCAAAGGCAATTAGATATTTAGCTCGACAACAATGCCAGCATCAGTTAAAGTCGATGGGTGGTGGAAGCGACAGCAAGCTGGAAATAGAGCGGGGGGCTTAGAAAAGGGGTTTCTGGCAATGTGAGATTTTTGTATGAGGATTTTCCATGAAGTTCTCAGAAATGGAGTGAAGGGGTTCTCTAACTAAAGCATGGTTTCTGTAAATGAGTGAGAGGCTCTGCAGGATTCCCTTCCGAGCAGGATCAGGCTATTTGGGTTCAGGAGTTGGGATAGGCGTTGTTTGCGGAAGACATGGCGGAGATGCAAGGGGTGATGTTGAGCAGTAGGACACGTGATTGGGTTGATGGCCTAAAGTGCCGCTTTGAAAGTAACCATCAACGTAGATATTTTCAATATTCAGATTGTAACCGGAATCAACAAACTCCCAGGAATAATAAATGTTGGCCAGACTAGAAAGGCAAATTTACAGAATGTTTTATCTACGTGCAATTACTCTCAGGACAAAAAATGATATGATCAATACGAGCGTTGATGGATTACAAATTGAAGACATCCATAAGCATGTTTATATTGCTTTCAAAATATTCGCCCTTCTCCATGCAAACTAAGCCACAGATAGAGATGTCCAGCTTGACAATCAGTGAAAGAAAGCTTGGAAGCCATAATTCTCATACATTCCGAGCCATTTCCAACAGCTGTTTAGCACTGCCCGTCGTTTGGATCCCCGCTACTTCCCGTTAGCATCAAAACTCTCATACAATTTGAAACCAAAAAAAAAAAGAAAGGAAAGGAAAGGGGAAGGGGAAAAAAAGGGAGGGGAAGGGAAGGTTGAGGGGGGAGGTAGTAGGTTAACTAACGTATATTCCCAGTTTCCATATCTAGTACGCCCTCCACGGTCACATCCCTCAATCTCCTTTCTCAATCCGTCATAGCACTCCGCAGCGCCGATATTGCGGTTTCCATTATTGCTGATCAGCCGCAGTGAAAAATCAACCTTCTTGGTGCTATCGAGATTGTAGCACTTAGCCCTGATGTCGTTGGGTCTATAAGTACCGACTAAGGCTTCGTTGCATGCCCGCGTAGCAAAGTTGATGGCATAAGGCCTACCTGCACCCCAGCGAGCGCCACCGTCGAAGCAATTGCGCTTCGCGATAACGGTTGTGTCCGGGTATGCGGCAATACTGTTGGTTTTCATCGGGAAGGCGGATGCTAGGACCGCGGGGATGAGGGTCAGAATGAAAGATAAGTGCATTTTTGCGGAAAAAGATGGAGTTGAAGTTGAAATTCTGAGTTATTTTATGTTAGTAGGCTCCTTGAATGCTTCAAGATTATTATGCATTTGCAATTTCTCCTTTTTCCTATGGACGGGCAAAACAGAGTTCCCTTTATATAACCCGACGTCGGCCATGCTGCTGGACTGTGTCTTTTCTATTAAAAAATAAAAATTGTTTATCCAATTCACTCTGTGGCCTGGACATCTCGATGAACATCGAACTGTTCTTAAAATAGAAATAGTAGTGACAATGGTGACATTTGTGATACCTGTCAACTTCATGGACAAGAAAGGCTTCCTGAAAGGGTTGAATAGGGATAAATTTAGAGATATGGATATCCTCCTGGGAGGATTCCCGTCCCTGCTGGGTTTGGGGGCTGCATCGAATCCGGCTGGGAGTGTTTGTCGATATGCAACAGGTTCTAGGGGGCTCGGGAATTAAAACTCCCAAAAGTCCATCCTCCTCTTTACTACCGCAAGATGAGATGATCAAACATCAGCCTGGCTATCACCATGATCATTGCCATTCTCCTGCTCGCCATATTTCTGCTTCAATTCCTCCCTCCTGCTGTGAAACAATTCATGATTCTCATCGACAACCTTTCTCGAGAGCTGCTTAGCCTCGTCACTTAACGGGGGCGGCAGGATGTTCTTGTCCGGCGCAAACCACAGTTCTCTTGGGACCTTAGTTCCATCCACGCCGGCAAACTCAGCTTCATTTACAAACCCAGTCGGATAGCGACGTATGCAGGCTGCGATTTGATTGGGGGTTAAACCAGCCGCGTCCACGACGTCGCGATCGGCAGTCAGCGATCGTAGAACCCCGTCCTTACCCAGCGAGATGCATCCCATGAATGAGAGGTCTTGTTTCAAGCCGTTGAAAATCGCGCTTAGTTCCCGCTGGATGGGGTCTGTGTAGTACCAGGAGGGCTTTTCACATCGAGGTCCGTTCTGATGCGCCATATCTACGCTGTTAATATCTTTCCTTCGCCAATCTGTTTATTGATATCCGTTGTATTGATGGTTGAGTCACAATTGATTCCTTGGGCTCCAGAATTGGACGTCAGAGTGCGGAGGGTTAGATTTATTGGAACCGGAGATGTAAAGTTTTAGCGTGCTTTTCCTACGGGTAGTTAGTTAGCAACTCGAGCCCCACCTCTCCGTACAGGCTACCGATATTTCGAGGCGGCAGGGCTGAAAACCGTGAGAAGTTTAATATCTTTGTTCCACGAGGTTTTAAATCCCGGCTGCAGCTGTGGTATGTCCCCAAGTCTATAATTAGTTAACTATGCATTGGGTAGCCAGTTTCTACGAATAACACTCGCTGTAACACCTGCAGAATAGAATCTTCCATCATGCATCTTGAGAAACCCGTCAACCCATGTTAATCACAGCCCCCGAAGTTATCCACTTCCAAACCCAATAGATTTAGAGCAATATATATCAGTCTACTATTAAAAATTGTTGACAGCTCTTGAGCAGTGGAACAATAGTGCATCGCGACAGAAACTTCAGTGGGCGGGGAGATGTAAAAGCTTATCCATAACAGCATAGCAACCATTATCAGTTTATACTCTTTACATCTCAAACTTCCGATGACATTCATTTTTCAATTTGTGGAAAAACCAACACCTAGTCAACTGAAAACCTAATCTCATTAAAATAATGAGTTAATCTCCAAAATAACTACCAAGTTTTCAGCAGTCACATGTAGTTCTATCATTACATGTGCAGCATAATTATTGTGAATTGCCAGCTTTTATGCAGCAGCAAAGGATCACCATGAGCCTGCAGAAATCCTTTCCAGAAAGAATAGAAGAAAAAAAAAAAAGGGGGGGGGGGGGGGGCTGGGGTTAACAAATAGCCCCCAATAGGGCGATTGTAGGCTGAGGTTTCCAGCACCCGCTCCCAACAC